AAAATGCAAAATATCGAATGCAGCACATCTATAACAGCTGGTTACAATCAGACGTGGCAAAATGTACTCTCTAGCGGACCAACTCCCCTGGCATGTTATGACATGTTATCTCACTATTTGACCGATTTCTACTCTTTCCAGCCGCTTACCGAAGACTGGTAGAGGCTAGGTTTACCTTAGCCTCTCCAGGCTTTGGGAGGCGACTAGAAAGCTCGAGTAGAAATCGGTCAAATAGAGAGATAGCATGCCAGGGGAGTTTGGCCGGCTGGAGAGAACAGTTTGCCGATTCGGCTAGGTTTAGCTAGGGATGTGCGGCGTACTTACGCAGAAATAGCGTCGTCCTTCCTTCCCTTCCCGGCCTCTTGTTTGCAGCAGGCTCTCCACAGGATAAACCTTGAATTTTCCCCCGCCGGACGTCCCCATCCTCACCATCGTCTCCCATACATAGTCGTTGAATCGAGGCGTATTGCAGACAGGCGGCGGCAGAAAGTACGCCTTGCCGTCGATCTCAATATCGCCTGGTTCGCCGGGGTCGGGGTGGGGCTTGTACGGCTTGTTGATGTACGTAGCGAACGGCAGACGGTTGCAGAAACTACCGATAGGCGGGTTAAAGTCCTGTGAGCCGACGGACGAACTCTCTCTCACCCCCGCAACGTTGAGCGAGGGGCCCGTACGCTCGGCGAACGGCAGCCGGTTCGAGTTGGCGCTACTACGAGGCGTGCTACAGTTCTGAGGAGGGCCCGCGGCCAAATTCTCCCAGTCACCGGCAAAGTTGACCAACTGGTCCGCATCCTCCACGAGAGGCAGACGGTTCGAGTTGTAGTCTCTGCGAGGCGTGCTACAGTTCAGAGGAGGGCCGGCGGCTAAACTCTCCCAGTCCGCGGCAAGTTTGACCAACTGGTCCGTACGCTCAGCGAGCGGCAGTCGGTTGAAGACGGTGCCGCGGGGCTGGCTGAAGTTCTGAGCGCCCGCGGACGAACCCCCTCTGTTCCCGACAATGTTGGTCGACTGATCCTGACCGTCCCTGGAAGAACAGTTCTCTTCGCTACTAACGACCTGGACTTCGGCGAACGTAAGCCTTCTTCTAGGCTTGGTCGGGTTCCGGTACCTTGTTGAAAACATGGCGGAGAAACCTTCGAACTTGACGGACGAAACGCACGCGCGGAAGAGTGGGAGTGAAATGACAGGATTCTTCAAAATCAGCATGTTTATTCTCTTCCAAGTCGTTATTATGCAAATGAGAACGAGGATACTGGTATTGATCGTTGAAACCTGTGAACCGTTTCACACGTTTCTGTCTGACACCTAACAATAAGATACAGCAGGTTTTTCGCGCGTCGCAATCTTTGATTTCTTGTGAGGGGTACGGTACAAGGATGCCGCTACAGGTGGACATGACACTGTTTTTAGCACCCAAACTTTGCATGTTACCAAATGCTTAGCGTCGACGCATATTGTGAAACAATAGCTTCAAAAGGACAAAAAAAAATGTGGGGGTATGAGGGTTCCATGTGTGCGATGTTTTAAAACGTGCGAAGTTAAAACATTTAATGGCTTTCATAGAGCTGAGTTCCCATCACAATATATGTGTTGTTGTCTTCCCTTGCCGAAAAGGGCTTCAGCAATTATTTCAGCAAGGACGTTTTTAACCAACTTGAATTTCAGCATCGAGCTTATCTTATAGGCACTGTGTTGGCGCATTGCAGTCCCTAAGTGTTTCGCCAGAGGGTGTGAAATACCTGCATGTATGAATTGCTTTCAAATGGCGCAGATTTGCATAGGGTTTTTTCTTCTCAGGCATACCAATACAATGTTCGAAAAAAAAAACAAGACAGTAAGATATCATAAAAGTTTCTAGCGCTTTGTCACGTTCAATATAAAGGTTGTATAGCATGGTAACGAAGCCAGTGGTGTGTATTTAGTCTCATCATACAGACAAGGACTTCCATGAAAATTTGCATAGGTTGAATGGCGGTAGACTTCAATGCCAGAACGTTCTGTGAACGTTGGTTACAAGACAGAATTTATAATTTGGTTGAAGAAATAAAGTGCCTTTTTTGTGACAGTTTTGCATGTGTAAAATGAACCCAGGAAGTCCTAAATCAGTAAAGTTACTAGTTCCCCAGAAAGCCACTACGGACCCATGAATTATCCATGGCCCCATTTTGCCAACTACTACTAAATATCATGTAAAGAGCTATCAATAGAAATCTATTGAAAGCTCTTTGATATCATAAAGATCTTTCCACAATGTATTGAGAAAGAAGACACACACACGGCCACAGACACCAACACATCTCGGCGAAGGTAGTTGAAATGACAACATTTTCTGTAACTCTCCAGATTGTGTTCGCTCTGCTGATGCTGATCCCGGATGACGTGTATAAGGTATTGAACCTGATGGGGTTTGTGTCGTGGCTCAGCCAGGCCGCCACTGTTTCCGGGCTGCTGTGGTGGAGGTACAAGAAACCAGACCTACCCAGGCCTATCAAGGTAAAATAATAATCTTCAATCAGGTCCTAGGGTGGCCAAAGACAGCATCAAATTGGCCAGGCTGTATCCATTAGCCATAGTGTGTCCATAGGCCCAAGGACCCTCTCTGGCGAATGGGCACTGATACTGTCTTTGGCCACCCAGTGTCCATTCGCAAGAGAGGGTCCTTGGGTGGCGTATGGACACTCTCTAGCGAATAGATACTGCCTGGCCAATTTGATACTGGCTTTGGTTGAATCTGCTTGGAAATTGGGTACAAGACGTCGGTGATATTATATATAGCAGTGGGGTTCAAGCCAAACGCAAAGAGACGAGTAGCAAATAAAGTCTCCTGGCTTGCGGGAACGTACTAACCACAAGGCATAGGTGTAGCCTCTACTAAAGAGTAGAAACCGACCAATAAACTGGAGTCGCTATGTTCTTTGAAGTCTACTACTATATACTATTGCATCTAATAGGGACCAAGCGTTGAAGTAACCAGGCTTGGAAAATGTGCTACTTTAGCGGAACAGCTCACTGTTATCTATTTTCTTTATTGAAATTCGTCACTGTTTTTTTTCCCAATTTTGGTGTGCCCTTTTTAAAGCTTAGCCTTGAATGATGTATCATGTATTAGCATTGTACCATTAGCCATTTTACTCTCCAATTTTTTTCTCTAATTTTTCTATTTTTGTGTGCTTTTTTTTTAGCTCAACCTGGCCATTCCTGTTCTATTCGTGCTACTGAGTCTGTTCATGGTGGTTGTGTCTTTTGTATCGGCGCCAGTAGAGTGCAGCATTGGGCTCTCCATTTTAGCCAGCGCCGTTCCAGTATACGCCGTCTTCGTGCACTGGAAAAACAAGCCGGTGTGGTTCATGTCGTTTGAAGGTCAGAACTCGCTGTTTATATCTACTTGTAATAAAGCGATGGTTACTATTAAATTACAATATGTTTTGTGCAGAACTGTGTCCTAATCTGTACTAAGCGGACAGAGAGAGAGAGAGACTCATTGCTAAACTCCTATGTTCCCCCTATTCACCCCCCCCACACACACACAAACACACAAACGCGCGCGCGTGTTTCAACATGTTCAAAACGTAGCGGTGTCAGAACATACGGGCGTCAGAACGTGGAGGTGTTAGAAAAAAATGGGGGTTTCTACGGTAAAATCACTGTCACTAGTGTTATAGTATCCAGATTCTTATAATTATCGTAACACTGGCTTCTTTTGTCTTCCAGGCTACGTGACAACTCGTCTGCAACTGATTCTAAACGTCGTACCACAAGATCCAACGGTGAAGATCAAGTGATATCTTATATAATACTATTTTTAATTAATTTTTTTATTTTTTTTATATTTTTTAATAATGTCATTTTTCCTACCGCTAATGTTACTCATTTTGCAAAGTTATCCGTTTATAAAAAAACAACAACAAAGCATTACCCATCTATTACGATCTTGTTATTGTTATGACAATATTGTATGGCTACTTATTTATACTTTTCGTACTTAAAAAAGCCATTAAAATCTACCGTTTGCTGTAGAGATCTTAAAGAGATATATAAATCCGATCTGCTGACTTGCAGATATTTATCCATACGCCTGCATTGTACAGAATATAGCTCTGTTTTCTGTGTGGCTTGGTTTACTAAGAGTCTTCCTTTTTCTTGTGTCCCTAGACGACTTTTCACCCCACATACAGGTATATTTTGGTCAGTAAATTGCGTTCAACCAAAATACTAACACAGATAACTTCTTAACTGCGAGGAAATGTCAATCATGTGACGTCACTGACAGCGAAGCGTTGTGATTGGTGGAATATTACAGCGTAGCTTCAAAAGTTTATGGAAATTATGAATCAGAATTGTTTATGGAAGAAATTATTTAGAGAGAACACAACATTTGCAAGCAAACACAGATACTTTCTTCCCAAATCGTAGTACCCACGCAATTGATTACATGGTAACTAAAAAAATGATTTGTATAAATACAAGATGTACCATTAATATATTAAGATACATTAAACTCCAAGCAGATCTTTTCGACAGTATCAAATTTGGCCAATTTGATACTGTCTTACCCCCACCAAAAGATTGGTGGGGGTAAGATTGCTTGGAGATTAAAGATACATGCATTCTACGACGTCAGTTTTGTGATACGAGGGATGCTTGGAAGGTAGCACACTCCATTTACTAAGACGCCCTTAGTAAAAAAAAAGACCTGGCGTACATGTGTAGGCTTGCGTAAGTTTGAGTAGCCTAAACTCTAGTCCTTCGAGGTTCTTAACAATGACACAATGAGCTCATCTATAAATCTTTCTTAAAATTTGTATGATTCGACTAGATCAAATTTTCAATGGTACAAGGCACCCTACAAAGGCAATATGTCGTTACTGTGTGCCTTTAAGTCTTCTAGCGCAACGCAGGGTTCGTTGTATATCAGGCCACGTGGTAACGCAAACAAGGTGTCCACAAGGTCACCCGTGGACACGGGCAAAGTCTACCTTAACACCAACAGGCTTAACCTTGCAGCCTGACGAATACAACATGGAAGAAAGTGGGCAAAAACTCGAACAGCGCGAAAACCAAGCGTCGGTCGGCGTCCGTATGAAAAGACAGCTGACCCTAACCAACGGCGTGGCGACCACCATGAGTATCATGATCGGGTCTGGCATCTTCCTGTCCCCGAAGGGCGTTCTGCGGGCCACCGGTTCTGTGGGCTTGTCTCTGATCGTGTGGACTTTAAGCGGTGTGCTGTCCTTACTCGGAGCTCTGTGCTATGTAGAGCTCGGGACTACAATCCCAAAGTCAGGCGGGGACTACACGTACCTTCACGAGATCTTCGGACCATGGGTGGCTTTTGTGAAGATCTGGCAGAACTTTACTATAGGAGGACCCTGCGCGACTGCAGTGTTGGCGATCACCGTGGCCCAGTACGTTCTGTACCCGTTCTTCACGCCTTGCCCGGCCCCGTACTTGGCTGTTCGCTTGATTGCGGCAGTTTGTTTAGGTACGTCTTCTTTTTTCTTACTTACTCTTCATTTCAGGCACCAAAGGCCCATATCATTGCATAATATTGAAAACCGAGTGACATATATACATATATAAGTGGGTAAAACAGTGAGATACGGTATAGTGATGCTAAAAGAAATATATAAATGTATATATAAATTCATTACCGCTTATAGACCAGATCAACATAGTGCTGCCAGTAGTTAGTGAGAGTGTATATATATCAGAGTAAATCGCAAAGTACAAGGCTCTTCAACCAACACAGTTATTAGCACTTAATGATTGATAAAGTGCATTTTGTACAGTATAGTAGGGGCACCAGAGTCATATAAGTAAACAGGGTCATCAGAGTCATATAGTAAGGTATATAAAACAATTAAGCCAACTACAATAGCAGTCTATAGAACTTTTAAGTGGTTGACGGAATACCAATAGATCAAGAACGGTTGACAATTGTGCAGCAATTGCAAATAGCAAACAAAGTCAGGGGTCGGGTATTTACCAATGGTGTGTTCGCAAAACATCTTTGATCGATCTTTAATCGCCTTCAACAAAGCCTTGAGTTTACTCTTGTCGCGAAGGTTGACAAAGGTGAGTCTTTCACCTCAGATGACCTTTCCATAGCTGGGAGTCTAGCTGTGTGCCTGACCTTAACCGTAGACGAGTCATCTGTTTTCAATTGGTGTTACGCCGTCCTTGTGCACCAAGCCAGCTTGGCGAAGAGTCCAGTTTGCGTTGTAGTGTAAATTTACTGGTTTATGATTTTGTTTGCATGGGATTGAAAATGAAGCTTCGTTGCATTTTGTATCTGTTTGGATTCGTGTACAATCACATACTTTTATATCTAAAACTACCTCACAGCACTAAAAGGCCATGTAAAATTTTCAAAAATGTGTCCATTTTGACACATTTGGACGGGTAAGATTTTCCACGTATTTACCTTAGCCCCAGTACTATAGTAACATCTGTTTTTGTATATATGTAGGTCTGGTGGGGTTTGCCAACTGCTACAGTGTTCGTTTGGCGGCTCAACTGAACAACGTTTTGACGTTTCTGAAGCTGGGAGCACTCGGCATCATCATTGTCTTCGGCGGGATTCAACTAGCTAAAGGTAAAGATGCTACTAATTCTGCGAATATATATACTTTTATACCTTTGTATGGGTCCCTAAAATTAGTGTAGCTTGTACAAACGTTTTGTAGTACAGCAAATTCTATTAAATATCAAATATTTGTGACGAAAGCCAGTGGATACTAGCTGAAACGTCTGACCGTTTCCAAAATCATATCCAGTCGCTTGAGTAACTGCTTTATGGCGTATTGTATTACCTGAATGTCTAACCTTCATCGACGTATCTATTAAATATTTATTGATTAAAATGACTGGATTTGGTTAAGTTTCAATTTCAAAGTTTAACAGTATTAGGCATGTCGATTAAAGTTTATATGCTAAGTTTCTCTAGGTGCAATGCCAAGAACCCGTGTAATTTATTATTAGCTAGTGAAGAGATCCTTCAGAAGACTTGTGTGATATCCTAGCTATATTTCGTTGTAGTTCAAAGCAAAAATGCTAGGCAGCGTCACTTGCACATGTTCACGAATCGACATTGAGAGGCGAAGAGGCTGTTCTTCCTTTATTTCTTAATCCAACGTAAACGTTTGAATAGATAATTACAAAAAAAAAAACGTTTGGTTAGATGATTAAAACATTCTGTGATAGTACAAAGTAACGCAACCCAATTCAACGTTACTAGTATTACTTTGTATCTACAGGACATACTGACAACTTGGACCCAGCCAACGCGTTTGACGGAACCACTTCTTCCGTTGGGGATGCAATGGTGTCTTTCTATTCCGCGCTTTGGGCATACAGCGGATGGTAAGTGTGAAGAAAGTGATGCACACATGTCAACAAATTAAGTACTTAGTACACTTTGTTGTATGGACATTTAAATTCATATCCAGTGTAACATCTAGCCAAATGCGTACTTGTTTCAATCAGTATATGGACCCCGGAGCCCGGCATTTTTTTTACTGTGCCTGCGTATTCAGTTGCAACTATGTCAAAAGTTATTCAAATAATTTGTACCCTTGTAATTCTACAGCAAATACAGAAAGAAGTTACGGTATTGCTATTGCTGTTTGCTCCAGGCAAAGCCTAAATGCTATAGTGGAGGAGCTGAAAAACCCGACGAGGTAAGAACTTAAATTCATTCGTTCATTCATTCATTCATTCGTTCGTTGGTTGGTTGGTTCGTTCGTTTAGTTCGTTTATTCATTCATTCCCCAGGACCCTGCCCCAGTGCGTAGCGATCTCGGTGCCGCTGGTGACTGTTATGTTCGTGCTGACGAACATCGCGTACTTCACCGCCATGACTCCTGACGAACTACTCGCATCTGATGCTGTCGCCGTGGTGAGTATGCAAATACAGTGGATGCCAGTTACTAGAAGTTGCTTTTAGAAAAATCCGGCCAAATGAAAAAGTGAAATCCCAAACCATTTCCCATTGACACCATTGTTTATAGCGCCCTTTATTTGAAAAGCCAATGCCGGCTAATTTTTAAAAGATTGTCAAGTTGCAACACATTTCCAACCAAAACAGTTACAGTACAAGTAACAGTGCAGTTACAATGTGGGCAAAGCCTTTACCATTCATCACATAAGGATATTTCGAGAAACAGAGAACACATAATTATCGTGACCACTACATACAATTAAAAATTATTGAAGTTTACTTTTTGTTTGCTTCTCACATGCATTTTACGAGCCTTGGTGCCAGGATCTGAACCGGCTAACATATTTACTGTGACGTCATTGGCAGCAATTAATTGGTAACAGAAATCAAGAAGAACGATTTGAAAGATTCGATGTTGCCTAACATCAGAAGAGTGTATTTCTGTACTCTCCAAGCAGAGGTTTGGGTTTTGGGTCATTTTTGGCGTGTTTTTAGGCTTTTTTATCGGGGTTTCATTTTTGCACTGAATTTTTTTCAACCCAACCAGTGAAAAATGAAACCCCGACAAAAAAGCCTAAAATCACGCCAAAAATGCCCAAACCTCTGCTTGGAGAGTAGTATTTCTGTTTGAACGTCTTTATTCTTTGAATAGTACCTATCACGTTTTACTACTTTCAGGCACTGTTGTATTTCAGTGCTATTGGTGTAATGTGGCCTTTAATCATAAGGTCTTTATTTTCCCATCAGACATTCGCTAACCGTCTCCTCGGCACCATGAGTTGGATCATCCCCCTGGCCGTGGCCGTCTCAACGTTCGGAACTCTTCTGACAAACACCCTGGCCTTTTCAAGGTAAAACTAAATAACTACTTCTTCGTATCGTGTTCATCTGTGTTGGTAGTTACATGTTTAAAGTTAAAACTTTTGGTCCAACGCCCTACATTGAACCGAGACGGGGGCCGACATCGTCTACCAGATACCTTTGACCCAGTGTTGACGTCACACTTCAAAGAAGCCACGTGACAAGCTTCACTGGGTAAGTCTACTGAGGAAGACCAGAGTGACTGGTCGAAAGCTCTAGGTGAGAGAATTGTTTGTGTTGGACCAAAAGTTTTAACTTTAAACAAGAACCTCTTCTGTTTACATGTACATGTATATGTTATTGCATGTGGAGTGCAGTTTTTTTTCTGTACTCTCCAAGCAGAGGTTTGGGTTTGGGGGCATATATTTTCATGCTAGTGAAATTATTACTATCCATCTGTCTTCCATAGACCCTGGATGGTCGCTGCAAGAGAGGGGACTCTACCGAGGATCCTGTCGATGATTCAAATAGACCGACTGACCCCCGCTCCAGCTGTCATACTGAGGGTGCGGACATCTTTACTTGTTTTCTGACCTATAACATCGCTTCGTGGGAACCCGTTATCCATGTGTCCATTTTGCCAACTACTACTAAATATCATCAAGGGGCTTTCAATAGAAATCTATTGAAAGCTCTTTGATGTCATAAAGATCCTTCCACAATTTCTTGAGTTGTGCTGTTTAAAGGAGACACACGGACACAGATACCAAAACATCTCGGCAAAGGCAAGTCTGGCATTATTTTTATCGCTATTTCCACGGTAAATGCTCCGCAGAATTTCACTCGCTAGTGCCCCCGCTTCGAACTTTCTCAGCAAGGACACGTTTTGCCACTTCCACTGAAACAAATCACTCTTTCTTCCTCCATACACCACCTCTTAGGAGGAAGTTCCACGCTGAAATCTTCTTTCCTAGAACAACATTACTATGGAACAAGCTACGTACCATGTAATTGTTTCCCATATGGGTATAACCAAGGACTGGTATAACATAACCTTAAACTTTCCAAGGCAAAGGGCCAAAGGCCAACATAACATCTGTCCTCACTGGCTGTACAGTAACCCAAAGCATTTGTTTTGCGATGAATATGTATAAAGAAATAAAAAATAAACATGACAATATTTTCTGTAACTCTCCAGATTTCGTTTTCTCTGCTGATGCTGATCCCAGATGACGTGTATAAGGTACTAAACCTGATGGGTTTCGCTGGCTGGCTGAGCAGCGCTGTCACTGTTATCGGGCTGCTGTGGTGGAGGTACAAGAAACCTGACCTACCCAGGCCTATCAAGGTACAATAATCTCCAAGCAGATCCTAGCTATAGGGTGGCCAAAGACAGTATCAATTTGCCAGGCAGTATCCATTCGCCAAAGAGGGTCCATACTCCACCCAAAGACTGTCTTTGGCTACCCTAGGATTGGTTACATGTACAGGACATCGGAAATTTTGTATTTAGTAGTAGAGTTCAAGCAAAACACAAAGGGACGAGTAGCAAAGTCTCCAGGCTTGCGGGATTCGAACCCGGGCCGCCAGCTCTCAAACCCAGCGCACTAACCGCAAGGCTAAAAGGTCGGAAAATGGAACTTCTGTGACAACAGTATCAACATATACTGAAAGAATTACCATATATATATATATATATATATATATATATATATATATATATATATATATATATATATATATATATATATATACAATTTCAAACTGCAGTGTGTGAGTTTGAAATTGTACTTCTACATACTTTCCTAATTATTGATTAACTTTTGCATTTTATTAGTAATCATTTTACCTCCATCACTAATGTTTTTCTCTAACTTAGCATGAAAGTTCACCTGTGTTGGTACAAGTCATTATGAAATAAAGACTAAACTTTAACTTCCAACACTAGAAATAGAATTGGGACTTACCCCAAATTTTCGGTTGACTCCATCAACCTTGTTCACGGAATGGACCCGTCTACTCTTGGAACGTGACGTCAGAGACACGTGACCGTAGTAGCGTTTTTCTCTAATTGTTTCGTGCGTGCTTTTTGCTTTCGATTGTTTCAGATGAACCTGGCCATTCCTGTACTATTCGTGCTACTGAGCCTGTTCATGGTGGTTGTATCTTTCGTGTCGGCGCCAGTCGAGTGCGGCATCGGTTTGGCAATTTTAGCCAGCGCCGTTCCAGTATACGCCGTCTTCGTGCACTGGAAAAACAAGCCGGCGTGGTTCATGTCGTTTGAAGGTCAGAACTCGCTGTTTAGATCTACTCGACGTGATAAAGTGATGATTTAATACTAGTAACTTACAATATGTTTTGTGCTATGTCCTAATAACAAACTTCATAGAGAGAGTGAGAGAGAGAGAGGGGAGGGAGAGAGAGAGAGATAGAGAAAAAGGAAGAGAGGTTTTGCAGGAAACTGATTTATTCGATATATTTCTTTGAAGGGAAATATTGCTAAACTCCTATGTTCCCCCTACCCCTACACCCCCCCCTCCGGACACACACGCGTTTGTTTCAACATGTTCAAAATGTAGCGGTGTCAGAACATAGGGGAGTCAGAACGTGAAGGTGTTGAGGGGTGTCTCCGGGTAAAACCACTGTCACTAGTCATGACTAGTGTTATAGTATCCAGATTCTTATAATTATCGTAACACAGGATTCTTTTGTCTTCCAGGCTACGTGACAACTCGTCTGCAACTGATTCTAAACGTCGTACCACAAGATCCAACGGTGAAGATCAAGTGATATCTTATGTTTTCCCTACCCTGTAATGTTATTCATTTTGCAAAGTTTATAAAAAACAACGGACTGCACATCTATTATGATCTTGCTATTGTTATGACAATATTATATTGCTACTTATTGATACTTTGTACTAAAGCCAGCATTAAAATATCTACCGTTCGCTGTACAGTTCTTAGAACAAGAAATACAATGTACATGTATATATATTGGATCTGCAGACTTGCAGATATTTGTCCATAAGCTAGCATTGTACAGTATATTACATTGTTTTTTGTGTGGCCTGCTTAATCAAGAGTCTTCCTTCTTCCGGTGTCCCTAAACGACTTTTCACCCGACACATACGTTTATTTTGGTCCGTAAATTGCGTGCGACCAAAATACTAACACAGATGACTTCCTGGTTGACTCACCGAAACAGCTACGAGGACATGTCAATCACATGACGTCACGGACAGCGAAGCGTTGTGATTGGTGGAATATTACAGCGTTAATACTGTCAATGTCAGCCGTTATAGAGGAGAATTTATGGGCGCCGTTTTTAAACCTTGGCATGGAAAGCGTCCAGCCTGGACAAAAACCACAGTTATGGCATTACTGGTATATAATATAATACATAATGACTTGTGACAACCCCTACATGTGCATGTTATACGTAGGGATATATATATATCAAAGACTGTATATATATTAGAAATTTCTCAATATTATTGTAAACGTCATACCTATCCCATACTAGTCACCCACTCCTGTACATGTAATAGTTATGTTAGCCTTATGAAAGTGTAGTTATATGGAATATAATAGAATATGTACTAGTAGATGCCATACTTTGTACCCTGTACAATTCTTGTGTAAGTGAAATTTATCAAGTATAGTAGATACAAGTGTTATGGGGATGAGTTTTACTATTTCTTCAGCCTGCAAAGGAGTCTGGTGGAGACTATCAGTGGTCACGGTATGTTCTGTGTCTGTATCTGTATAGCCGGTATAACCGCCCTATAACACACCAGCTTCGCAGGCACGCAGCGCGGCAGCAGCTGGCTACATTACACCGAACAACTTGTTACACCTAACCCTTGAACATCTAACTCTAAACACTGTTTAAAGCTATCTAATGATAAAGTTCTGACCGGGAATGCAGACAGCAGACTTATACAAATGTGTTTTGCACTGATAAAACCGGCCGCCTGGGGGCAGTCTGCCGTACATATCTACACTCATGTCATGTCAGTCATACTTAACATGTATCACATCGCCGGTCGGGTCTCCAGGGGACAGGTTTATCGGGGAATTCCCAGGAACTGGCCTTACGCTGGTTTCCTTTTTCGGCGCGTGTGCGCACTTTTACTGCGACAGAGCGAGTTTGGTGACTAACAACCTGCCTCGCGTATTTGCTATGCACATCTTTAAAGTTCCTTGACATACGCAGACGTACACACTATGTGCGTAGGTCCAATTGAGATAGTTTGTGAATGCTGAATATTGACGTGGTTGACGCATTTGCCGTGTTCGTCTTTATCGATGAATCCATATGCAGTATACAGGACACATCATGAGAAATATCAAATAAATCTCTCTAAACTAGTAGGTCACTGAAGCACCATTGTTTCTTTCATCCTTGAACTTCATTCTAATAACACTGTAAAGTTAAATTTATGACGGGTAGTAAATGTTCGTTAAGTCTGGCAATGTTTACTTTGTAAACAGTAGCGGATTTTACAATAGTAGCAAATAGAAAGGATGTCTAGTCATTTCTGACTCAACAATAGTCAATCAACCGCAAGCATCAGGGAAGATGCATGATAGTAAATGTAAATAGTAAATTACTAGACTTGACTTTAATTTACTACCATGTTAAGTTCGGCCGGTATTGTATACAAAGTCAACATTAACTACCACTTTTAATTTAAGCTTTCGTGCAGTGTAAAAGGTTTGTCGCATAGGAAAACAAAAGAGTCCATCTATATATTTCTTCAGGTTAAATCTTAAAACGGCTCCTGTGCAGCTCCATGATACTAGTGACACTGTTCTACTTCAAATAAAGGGACCCCTGACGCTCATTTGCATATAGAACCACGTCCCCGGGGAATAAGATAGCTTTTTATTCAAACAACGGGACCAAATATGCAAATAAGTGACGAACCTGTGAAAGGCAAACCTTACCCTTGGCAAAGTTAAACAAACGTGTTCATCTTTACATGACGTAAGGTTACGGTTACGTGAACCGCCTCAAAGTAATTAGACACTTAAAGTCGGTGCAAACAGTTCTAGAGTAACCTATCAAATAACCTCGTTCAAAAACATTCCAAAACGTCATCGGACTGCGTTCTGGAATATTCCAAAACGTGACACTGCGCACGTCTTTTAAACAGCGTCCACTTTACGACGGAGTCACCCCCCAAACGTCTTATAAGTCTCCGCCAAGAGTTCGAAGAGAAATCCTTGGCATTGGATGGGAGGGGTCACTGGCCTGAGGAGAAATTCTAACCGCTCCGGTTTCATCCGCGGCCAAAGGAACACAAGACGAGCGGCTAATCCACATGCCACTGGTCGGAAGGTTTTAGTCCTCCCGAATCTGTACTTGCCACACAGGGGTGTTCAATATCTTCGATGCATTTCGTATGTGTATTTTCATATCAAAATGCGCACATGGTACACATTTTATTACACTCTACCGCCGTATGATACTGTACATATGATCAAAGTAAGGAAAAATAGTTGGATACTACACTACAGAAATTTTAAGGATGATGCTACACCCCTACACCAATGATGGCAGAGCCCTAGCACACAAAAATATTTGAACTTCCATCGGCGATGACAAGCGCCATATTTAGCCGCGGAGTCAGCGCGCCTCTGAAACCAGAGCCCTGGAGAGGAGACCGTGGTGATTTTCCAGTCTGCACTGCACTGGGCTGAAAACAAGTGCACTGAGCTTAGTAAGACGAGGACAGCTCATAGCGGAGATCAGTTGAAGAATCATCACTGAAGATAGAACTACTACTGACTACAGACCTGCGCGAAGAAAGCAAAGCTCATCCACTCACTCAAGACGTCACTTAATACGACGGAGATTCCAAAATGGCTGGTAGGTTTTTTTTATTATCCCATCCATTTCTATCCAACGGTTACTTCTTTTATTCAAAGCGACTCTGGAAAGTGGATTAGAGGATTAGAGCACGTATACACGATTACAATGTGGAACCAGGAGATTATAATTTGTGAATTTTAATCCTCAGCGATCAGTTTTCTACATAGCTTCGACATAGTGATGCACTGTTGGAGTGATGGTATTACTTATTTATATTCTCACGTGTACACATTTTCTTGTTATTAATATGCTTATATCCTTATCTATATTTTTGCATTGGTAGATTTTGGTACGTCTTCTTAATTTAGATAAAGAAAAGGAGATCTTTTAAATTACTAACTGCAGACAATATTGAGTCGGTTACATAAATGACTTGCATAGATTACCATTTGTTCTGACCCGAATACATCAAGTCCTAAACACTTTATCTTTCATATACAACGTATGACACCAAAACGATAGTGCAAAGTTTTATTACAAACAGATGCAAGATATTTTCAATGAAGATTTTTGGAAGCAGAAGGCCACATCGCCAATTACATACATGTATAGGTTGCCTCTGACCTGGATATATCAGTTCCTAAATGTTTAATCTTTGATATATAACTTATGACACCAAAACAACTTTACCACCAAAACGATTTTAAAGAAAGCTTTATTGCAAACAGCTGTAAGATATTTTCAATGAAGATTTTTGGAAGCAGAAGGCCACATCGCCAATTACATAAACGTATCGGGTGCTTCTGACTGAAATATGTCAGTTCCTAAATGTTTAATCTTTGCTGTGAATTCATCTCCAGTTGCTATAAAAAGAGAGAAGAAATCTTCAAGACCTAGATTAGATATGTTAGCTAGTAGGTCCTAAGGCTTTTACGATATTCTTATATCCTTTTATCCTATGTATTTTGTTTCTCAGTATGATATACATGTAACATCATACTCCGATGTATGCATTTAGCCCCATGGGCATGAACATGCAAATAAAGATTCTATATAACTTTACCACCAAAAAGACTTTGAAGAAAGCTTTATTGCAAACAGCTGCAATGTATTTTTGTTTGCATCTACGTTTTGGAGCCCGGAGTGTGAGAGAGATCGTTTCCATCATGACGCAATCACCGGCCGGCCAAGCCGCGGAGCGAAAATATGCCACAGTGGCTTTTCCAAAAATAACGGGGCAAGACTGGTAACATGGTAATCCACAGTGTACACTGATAGTCATCCTAGGGTGTCTTTTTAGATTTTATCTATTTTCTTTGGCTGAAGATACAGCCAAGGCTGCCCAACTAGTGCAAGAATATTACTACTAAGGCCGGCTAATATTTAAGCTGGCAGAGCCAGGTCTCTTTTTAGATCACGGTAAATACAAGTACTGACTGTAGAGGAAAGTTGTGCTATTAAAACATGCTTGAAGACCGTACATAACAATGTGCATTTGACTAAAAGCACCAGGTCTATTCATTGTCAAATGGCTTTGCTTCATTTTATTTCCTTGCTGCTTAAATCTAAACAAAAAGAAATTGAATAAGAAATCAAACTTTGCGTGCAAAGCCATGCCCTAAAGTTAATTGCAAGGGAGAACACACACACTATACTAGCTAAGGCATATGATGATACCAAAGCTGACTTTCCTCTGAATTTGTAATTCGCCTATCCTTTTCATGTTTAGTCTATTGTGGATTTAATCTCCAAGCAGATCCTATGATGGCATAATACAGCAGTATCCATTGGTCAGAGAGGGTCCAACATGCCAGTGGATACTGATACTGTCTTATGCCACCCTAGGACCTGCCTGGAGATTACTGTGGATTAGCTTTTTCTAAATCTACCGGTTCGAATTCCCACCGCCTGTTTACTTGACCTAAAACCATTTGAGAGCGTGTTACATAAAAATCCTATCTTTTACCAAAAGCTGGCTTAACTAAAGTTTAAGCGTACAATTGGCGAAATCGTATTGATGTTTAGTCTACTGTGGATTATGTTTTCCAAACCTGTCGGCTCCCCACTGCGCGTTCCCTTGTCCTAAAAACCCTTTGAGATCATGTCATTAAAGCTAGGTTACATAAACATTCTATCTGATACCAAAGCTGGCTTTCCTCTGAATCTGCAATTGGCAAATCCTCCTTAGAATGAGTCTACCATGAGTCATGTTCTTCCAAATTTGCTCACCAACCCATGTTTTCTTGCCCTAAATCCTTTTGAGATAATATCACCAAAGCTAGGTTGCATAAAAATTCTTCAAGACTAGGATACCATACCTGGCTTTCCTCTGAATTTGCAATTGACAAATCCTTCTCATGTTTAGTCTACTATGGATTAGCCTCTCCCAAATCTGCAGGCTCCCCATTGCGAGTTTCCTTGTCCTAAAAACCTTTTAAGACCATGTCAACAAATCTAGAGTACATATTAAAATTCTATGTATCACCAAAGCTGGCTTTTCTTTGAGCTTGCAATTGACTTCTGATGCTCAGTCTATTTGGCATTATGTTTTCCCAAATCTAGGGTACATAGAAATTCTCTGTGATACCAAAGCTGGCTTTCCCTTGAGCTTGAAATTAGCTAAACCTTTCTGATCTTTAGTCTACTGGGTATTATGTTTTCCCAAATCTGCAGGCTCCCCATCGTCCGTTTCCTTGTCCTAAAAACCTTTTTAGACCATGCCAACAAATCTAGGGTACATATAAAAATTCTATGTACTACCAAAGCTGGCTTTCCTTTGAGCTTGAAATTAGCTAAACCTTTCTGATGTTCAGTCTACTGGGTATTATGTTTTTCCAATCTGCGGGAACCCCATCGCGTGTTTCCTTGCCCTGAAGGTTGAAAAGTTCACATTTGAGTGACGGACCGAGTGTCGAAGTAATTTAGCAGCCCCTGTGCTACCGCTAGCGCTATGTCTGATCGCTTACATAGTAAGAAATTCCCCAACGAAATATAGCTATTGATTCAAGTACGTATCCAAGGCCACAGTCCGTTTGGTAGTAGTGTCTACTAGACTCCAAATGCTGGAAAAATTGTAGAAATTGGCAGAGTCGACGGAATGATAAGCCAGAGCTCTAGAGGAGGTTGCCATTGTAATTCCATATGACTGGCTAACTCCTCTATCAGGCAACTTTTTGGCCAATGTCTACTTCTATTTTCAGCAACCCAAAGGAATCTGGAAGAGACTACTTTGCTTCTTGAATAAAGATAAGATAAAATCAACGTACTGTTTGTACAGTTGCACTATCATTGCACACATAGATAATGTAGAAAGCAAGAATGTAATCTCGCATATTGCTCATCCTGTTGTCAACGCCTGCACTTAATTAGTAGCAGTAGGAATCCTTCCATCTCGGGAAATGATGGAAGTGCTCTAGTTGTGATGGTGTATAGTACCTTTAGGGTGTTGTGGCCGCGTGCAGCGTCTATAGCTAGTGTGCTTATCAGCCCTATCCTCACATCCCGGCCATAGCTAATTTCCAAGCAGATCCCTTTCGGTGACAACTTCTCTGGTTAATGGATACTGTCTTGCCACCGGAAGGGATCTGCTTGGAGATTAGCCATAGCTAGGACATGAAAGTTGAGATATTTTGTGGTTGTGGTCCCTCTACAATTGATATAGATTAAGAGAGTTCCGGCTTAGTGAAATCTTTCCCAGCCACAGCTAGGACATTTTAAAGTTGAGATATTTTGTGGTTGTGGTCTCTCTAGATGCAAAAAGGAGGATTGGTCGTCCTATCACTCATATTGAGTCTGAAACTGGTCTGCAAGGATCGGAACTTCTGTCCGCAATGACTGACAGACTGTACTGGAGACAAAACTTCACTAGCTGCGCCTCATAGAGGAAGAATATTAATGAAGAAGAAGAAGGTCTCTCTACAATGAATGTAGATAAGAGTAGTTCCGGCTTAGTGAGATTTATCTATCGGCAGCCTACAGAGTTGACATACCGACCGGCTGTAACAGGACACAGGATCGCGACCGGAGCGTCTCAACTTCTCACATCGAACCGGCTGAACCTTCCGTGTGCTCGCGATGTTTACTTCCGCGCTTAGGACCTAATTAACCCAAATTCCGAACCCTGGCAAAAGACTAACTTAAAAGGCCTTCTCTATCCGCAATTTCCAAGACGGCATGATTATCTGAAAGACAATTTTCATTGCTGCATAGAAGAATAAATTAATCTATTACAAAACAGGGATATGAAAAGAAACCAAAGGAACAGCATTGGTGCTTCTAGAATGGACATTCAACTGTCATCATCCAACTTTCTCTAAATAGCCTTTTTACAATGTCATTGCATAGATACTTTTGACGCCGATAGTTGCAAGAAAATGATACAAAAAAAATCATAATCAGTAACAATATCTCTTTGACGTTGTTCACGACGCAAATTGTTCAATGCCACGATGCAATGCCATGTCGTCTATTGCCTTGCACGTATTTCTTCTTATGGTAGATATGTCTGAGAGAAGGTCGCTGCTCGTTGTGTGAGCAATCTCCAACACGTTCCAGTGTCTGAAACCCTGATAAGATCTGCCCCCAGGCGGTCTTCCTATCGGCGCTATTTTCCGTCCTTGCCATATAAGTTCTCGGCAGTGTTGGCGTCAACATCGTCCTAATTGGTTCGAAGCATGGCGTCATTTTGAGCAAGGAGCTTTCATCACAAGATGAAAGCTCCTTGTTTTGAGTAATCCGTTTGAAAACTGACCTGGCGCCAACTTGTTTGGCGTAGAATTTTACATCAACAACTGGCAGATGTTTAGCTGAAGGACGTGTATCAAGTGATATACCTTCATTAAGCACACTACAATATTAGATTAATGACTGGCAGAGGTTAAGGCAAAGCAAGTACATGTATAAAGCACAAGTGAAGGGTGATGGGCTCTGATGTAAATCACTTAACCGCGACGGGGGCCGACATCGTCTACCAGATACCTTTGACCCGGTATTGACGTCACACTTCAACGAAGTCACGTGACAAGCCTCACTGGGTCAATCTACTGAGGAAGACCAGAGTGACTGGTCGAAAGCTCTAGGTTAGAGAACGTTTTGTGTTGGATCGAAAGTTTTAACTTTAAACTTATTCCTTTGTTTGCAGGATACTACCTCTCCCAGCGGATGACGCCGTACGAAAGGATGATGATGGAGGAAAGAGGACTCGGAACGGCAGACCCCAGGGCCGAGATCCACGAAAAAGTGCAGCAAGCAGGTACGTCAGAAACATAACAGCCAAGAAGCCTGCCATTTTGATTGTCTTCCAAATCTGGTTAATATATAGACTTTGATTGGCTTTGGGGAATCTTGAATGTTGAAGTCTCCAAAAGAACGTTAACCTGGCAGACATAAAGTCTGAAATAACATAATCTATTCTTTTCACCTTTTGTCGAACTTTCGAAATTTCAGGAATTCCTCTGATCCAGGAAACCGACTACCAGATCGTCGAGAACGGCCTTGTCGGGACCGGTACCTTCGGGAAGGTCTACAAGGGCACGTATGAGGAGGATGAGGTGGCGGTGAAGGAAATCCAGATGGGGAGGAAAGTCAAGCTGACTGACCACCAGATCCGCGAAATACAAATCCACGGGTGAGACCACTTATCATAGGATATATTATCATTGAAATTCAGTACTTAGCGTTAGAATGTAGCGTTTCAATGTTCAATACTATGTTTTATATCCGCTAGACCACATATGGTCACATGTGCCCATCTGGGCAGGAATATACAATAAAGATTATTCATATCATACCTCTATAGCTTACTCTTACGTACCAATGGAGGCCACAGTAGTATGGCATCACAGTCCAGAAAGATGGTTAGACAATACAATGGAAAAGATGGGAGCATGATATCGAAGACAGAACAGGCACCAAGCTAAGAGGAATGCTAAAAAGAACAAAAAACCGAGAAGAGTGGTTAAAACTGGTCGCCAGATCATCTGTGGTGTCCCAACGATCAAGCAAGACTAGGGGTAGATGAGATGAGATGTAAAATATACCAAAAAGTTACATTGGTCCTGATGAAGTCCTTATGTAGAGGTGTTCACTAGTACATGGTTGACTAAAAACAACAAGTTGTTTTCTTCTTCTTCCCAGGCTACTCCCCGGTCACAAGAACGTTGCCAGCCTGCTCGCGGTGTCTATCGGGAAGAACCTGAGAATGATCTGCAACTTCATCGACGGCAGAAGTCTGGACGAGATCATCTTCGAAGAGGACGAGATTCCAAAAATTCTCAAGGTAGGCATTCTGCGTCCTGTTAACCTTTGTTGTGCCAAGTTACACATTGAAAAGCGTTGCACAGAGCCCGAAACTCTCAAGATGTGAGCAGTAGTGTTGAGGTTAGAACCGGTTTGCCACTGGCATCACGGTTCTAAGCCACCGCTTCTGTGCTGGTCCAGTGTCATTGAAATTTGTCCAGTGCCAGTGTCCTAGCAATATGCCTTGTATATTACCCATAGTTTATATACATTATGAAAAACATATACACATTTTCACGTATTTCGAAAGATCACCTCAAAACATAATTTTGTTACGCAGATATCCCTTTTTCGTATGAATTACTATATGGCATATAGCAACTTTACCAAAAATGTTTTCTATTTGCCTTCACATTTAAGTCATTTTATTCTATTCCAAGGCTATATTTTCTCCTTTTCGGGTTCAAACACTTCTGTATCTACCTTCTTAGCCCCACTGAATGGCAAGTAAGTTAAGACATGTTTTAACGTTAACATATGCCCCTTAGTATCTGTATGTCTAAGCCAGATCTCAATCAACAACTGGACAACAAATGAAGCCAACAAGATGCCGGACTTGCACAACGTTCAAGCGCGTCATCTTCGGCAGTTTATGATGTGATATTTAAAATCTTTTAGCCCAGCTACCCTCATTGTCCATTCTAATAACTGGTTTTGATATGCTAATCAATCCCACTTTCTTTTCTGTTTTCATTTATTATTATTTGGCACCATGGCTTTAGTCGTACACTCTATCACATTAGTACAGCTGTTTCAATCCCTACTATGTCGTATATTGTATGTTCATAACCTCACCGAGCGCATCGTTTCATTCTGTCATGACATACACACGTACGCATTTCGCAAAGACTAACGCATCTAATAAAAATCCTACCGCCTCACCTATATTTTCACCAGTTATCTGCATTTTCTGTAACCCCTGGTAACATTCTCACATATTAAACGCAAACACTATCTTCTCAAAGACAATGCTCTACTAAAGTATATGAAATAAGGAGATTTCTCTTCTTCAGCGTCACTAGAAGACCCAACTCCTAGTTCACGTGGAAGAAGAGTGACGGATGTCCGGAAGTAATCTCTGTATTTCATACAGTAGTAGAGTTGGAATTGCCTACTTGAGTATCGTTTACTGAATGTCTAACCTTCACCAACATAACACTACTTAGCTTAGTACAGTTCTGGTGTTTGATTGCTGTTTGTAAACGGACGAGCTTCCTTTTCCCAACCTGTCTCAATGTATTTGTTTTGAGCCCGTGCAGATCCCGGCCCATGAGGAGCCGTATGTCGCCCTGCAGATTGCCGAGGGCGTGGCGCATCTTCACGACTGTGGCATCATCCACCGCGACCTCAAGCCCGAAAACGTCATGGTTCGTGTTTTTTTTTCCTTAAATTTTACGCCGTTCTGCTTGCACAATCGACTTTCGTCGGGCAAAAGTAGAATATTATAGATTGCCAAGGCCATAGGTATGGCTCATCATCATGAGCAATGCTAGAGTCACAGTTTCCAACTCAGGACCCGGCCGGGTAGTTTGCAGCAACGAAACGTATATATAAAAGACGATGAGCCACTGAAAGGTTGGAGGCTAAACAGAAAAAAATGCCCTGAACACGCCAGGGGCGGAGTATATAGGTAGGACCTCACGAAATGGGGACAAGTGAACTCAGCCGATCGATCGCGAGTGTTCATATGTGGTCATCTTAACCTATGGAACATATTCTATGAAATGTAGACGAGTGTCACCAAAGAAGACCGATATGACACTATAACCTGAAAGCCCTAAACTGGATGCAGCACTGGAACAAGATGTGATGATGTTGACGATGATGACGATGGTACAAAACATAGTACGTTGATGAATATTATCATTTCTAAAGTGGGTACAGGTAAACTCAACCGAGAGTCGATATGGTCATTCTGATCAAACTATGGAACACATTCTCGTTCCATGAGTGCGAAATTCATACGAGTGTCACCAACCAAGACCTATATGAAACTAACCAGGAAACCCCAAACTAGTTGTAGTACTGGAACAAGATGTGATCATGATCATGATCATGATGCAAAACATAATGTATTGATGAATGTTCTCACTTCAGGTCGACACAAAAAGGCACGCCTTCATCTGTGACCTTGGAACCGCCAAGGTAGAGCACCACAACAACCTGTCCGTGATAGAGACCATGATGAAACCGGGAAGCCCCATTTTTCTCGCTCCGGAATGTTCCGTGGACGGTCTGGACGCAGACTACGCTTCTGATATCTGGTCACTGGGATGCACTTTGGCAGGTAAGTTATAACCCATATCGTATCATATTGCCAAAACGGATTGACCAATTGATTATGAAGTCGTAACACCATTGGCTAGCCATATACATTTATGGTGTAATTATCATCACTCGTCCAATCAACCCTTTGTAATAAGACCAATCAGAGAGGAGTGTAGACAGTGAAGGTCCAATCAACTTCTTCGAACCCCAGTTTCGAATCAGCCAAATTGTTACTAGTTTACCCAAACACTTGGCATGTACAGCAATCCCACTGATACTGTAGCTTTTTTCAAAGGCTGTTTTCAAATAGTGCACATGGTTGAATATCTATCTATACGAAGCAAAGTGACAGGTACAGTCTTACTATTTCCCTTTGTTCAATGATTTTGTAAACGTAGTTTTAACCTTTAAAGTCATCTTTTTCTTGAAGCTCTTTGATATTGGGATTTGGAAACTGATTTCTGTTTTGGAAACTGCAGAGCTTTTTGCCCGTGAAGAAATCTGGGAGACGGAAGACATCGAGTTTGAACTCAAGAGGTTCCTGAAGGACAGGAAAGAACCTGATGGGCTGAAAGATGTCAGGGAACCATTCAAGGTACGATTTTCTGTATAAAGGAACCCCTTCTCCCATTACTGAGTCAGGTAGTCAAACTTGCCTAAGCCTGATGTTTGTGACTTATTGAGAAGAGATGCTGCTTCAGTGAGCTTTAGTTAAGTACCTAGAAGTGGTCTATGTGGCCTTGCACTAAGCAAGCTTATTTAAAAAAATCCCAAGTAAGAAATGTAATAGAAAACCACTAAAAGATGTCTGCACATGCTGTTTACATTATTCCATGAGTTACCTATATCATTTGGCCACATGCACATGTATGAACTACAATCTAGGAGTAGGACTACATCAAATTAGCACAATATCAAATGAATGGGTACCAATTTCATTTTTAACAGATAATTGCAAAATAGCATTGTGGTATATAGCAATGTCATTGATAAAGATAATAATGCTCTTTTTTAGACTCTTGTGCGAAAACTTCTGAGTTACGACCCAAAGAACAGGATAACAGCCTTCGACGCCGTCACGGAGCTGAAGAAGACCTTCGATTGGAAGAAGTACGAACAGTACAAGGAACTCGCCAGCAAGCCTGGATTCAGAAAGAGGAGGGCCCTCAGCGCACCGAACTAGATCTACCCAACAGGGCTGGACTCTTGTGGAGTACATACATGTGCATTGCTTACTACTTGCTGGCAATGCAAGGTTTTTATTATGGCAAAGTATCGCAGGTATATATGGAAACTACCTTTGTTGTATTGAACGGATGTGCTGAGTTCTTGGAAGAGGAAAATGTGTTTTACAAAAGGACTCACTTATCTTTGTGGTTGTACCGATTTAAGGGCTCAATCTTGGAAACCTAACGCCTAGCTGTTACAAGGCAACAAACAACATCACGGGTGATACACAAAATCAACTATGAATCCTCTGACAACAGAATGACAGAAAAGCAGACCAATGTATACTTTATACATTACACAACAGAGTGCGTGAACATCCGTGAACTATGATTTATTTATTCATTTGTATAAAGGAATGTATATGTCGTTACTGTTGAACGGATGGCAAGGGAAGATTTTTAAGAGTGGTTTGGAAGATGTGTGTTACAAATGTACTGAATATACATAATACTTATAGTAATCTAACGTTAAGTATGTACTTTAAAGGTCAGTTTGTAGTGATGATTGTACTCCGTCATCATCATATCTATACATAGAGAAACACTACTATGTAGTATCAGTATGTAGGGACTATACGGTGCTGTAAATGTGTTTTATTTAACGTTACACTATCTGATATTAATTCAAAGATATTGTGTGGTTATGTATTGTTTGTACATGTATGATACACTAAATCGAATGTAAAATTATAGATAGCATTTTACTATGGGTAACTGATTAATAAGTCAATTGCACATTTACTCCTTGAAAATTGAGTACGTTAACTTGTATGATATCATTAGGAACCATTTACACAAACTGAAGACGTAGTATACAGCTTTCTAGTATCACTGTTGTAAATATCATTTCGAAAATATGACCATCTTTTCGCATAATCAAAGGAGTGAGAGTTGAATGGGGGGAAAACCTTTATTTTTTATAAAATGTACCAAAGGAGATTAGGCATACTTACAACTGAATTGTCAATGTGGCAAATTTACAGTCTGACTTGTAGGTATGCGAGGAGGTAAAATTTCTGCATATGATTGACAATATATAGATGTAGCAAACTGTATGTTTTAATTATTATGATTTCTCTGTAAAATATTGGCGTATCCAAGACCAACGTATTTGGGAGAAAAAGTAAATACGTGATTTTGGTAGCAGTACATTTATTAGCAACAGGTTACGGTCTTCCTTTTGATTCATGCCATGTATCATATATCTTTAAATCGTAAGTGATGTGGTGTCTATTTGTCAAAGGCAATATGAGGAAAGACAACTAGGTTGTATATCCTCTGCACGCGTATACTATACGAATAACAGACATGTTTCTACCGCCAAATGACCTTTTACCAACTACAACATCATCTGTATATAGGCAGACCCGAGACCACATTGGTCGGATTTACTGGTCACTGAAAATGCACCGTCTGCTATTTTAGTTTTGCTGCCAAACGCACGCACGAAGTCAATCTGCATCCGTTTCTTGCATGAAACAAGCAACCCGCCAGTTATGCAATCGGGTTTAGGTCACCATGAAGGCAATCCAATACCACATTCGTGTGACCGACAGTGGTTGGGGGAAGAAGTTTGATGATAAAGTTACAGATTTATTCGCACCTCTAACACGGTTAGGTCACGTTTAGACCGACTGCGCTGATGGTCTTGGCTTTGGAACTGTGACCTTGCAATTGGGGGACAACAAATTAAACCCGAACATCCCCCCTTTTGCAGCCCTCTAGGGAAAAAACAGATCTGTGCTTCCCTTATACTAGGAGGTTATAGTGGGTTTACATAAGAGGTGTTGGTAACATTGTGGTGCAATGGCCGCTGCTGTGACCGATGGATTAAAATTCCGAACAGTCTTTGACCGTGAGTCATTCAAAATGGAACCGATGGCAAAGCAAAATTTTGGTGCGCTGCTTTATAAGTAAAATACATAGCTACACGCCATTGCAAAGATTGTTACCAGTATAGCGTGACAAAACGTATACGTCGAGCACATAGGGCTACTTGAAAGACGGAAAGTTTTGAGGACATTTAAAAATGACGTTTGCTCTCGTCATCACGCTTTCTTCATCCTCAGAGCACGCATTGTTCACGTGAACAGTGGGGATTGCCAGCCAATCAGCATCAAGCCAGATTTTCCCGGAATTCAATGACTATCATGTTTACGCAACTCAAAATAAAGCTAGCAACTGTTTAAAGAGTCAGACGTTTTAGTCAGAACCACTGTCTTTCCTTTGTGACTGATGACAGTATTCTGACATTCTTAGTCACACTGATGATGAAAGATAGTGGATGCTGTCTGAAACGTATGACTCTTAAGAGATTTGCCCAGTTGCTCTCTTCATTTCATATAAGAATTATTATGTTATGATCCACCTAGATGTCTAACCTTCGTCAACGACAAAGATGTTTCTTCAGGTTGACTCAAAACATGCCACAGGCGACACTGTGGTTAGATAAACAGGTTACTAGTAATTACATCTATCATCTGATATGACTTTATTCCAAGGTCGGGTGTTAGTAACAACTTACATGTGTACTTTTAAATTTAAATCTCTCACACTCCTTCATTTTGTCTCTCTTTCACTTCATGTCCATTATATATATCTCTCTCCTTCTCATCTGAGCCCTCTCAGTCACTCACTCCTTGTATCACACAGGATACTAAAAATCTTACAGTGCAAAGTGCTTCAAACAGTTTACATTATAAGGTTGAGTGAGTGACCACTTTCAATCAACTGATGTTTTAAGGACCAGGTATACACCACCAAGTCCAAAGTCCTCTGTCACAGCCTTTTTGCTTCATTTTTAATACACTACCTCTAGTTAGGATTATCAAAGTAATAGGAAATAGAACCAGACAGACGGTTACCGGGTATAACATGTAACAGAACACTTGTAGGTGCCGACTGAACATTTGAAAACAAGACAGCAAGGTAACTTTCTATGTTACTTTCTATATAAACGTACTTCGATAGATGTTGACATCTATTCAACAAAGATATCTAGTTTGTTATCCCCATATAAAAGGTCTATGAGAACAAGAACTTCAGTAACAAACATACTAACTGTAACAAACTGTAACAAACAAATGGAATAACTGCTTACATGTCTTTGAGTCTGACATGTTACCTACCGTTAAAAGAATGTACATGTAATAAGGTTACACACTCAGGTTGTGTTTTTGTTTGTTTGTATTTGTTTACATGTCATCTTGTTCCTCTGTGTCATCTCTGGCCCCTTCCTTGGACAAGAAAATGATGCTATCTGTAAGCAAATGAAAGAAAAAAATTAAGCCAACTATCACAAATTTGGAGCAAAATGTCAGGGATAAGAATTTTGATTTTTAAATATAATAATTGATTGTCTTGCATATCTTAACATTAGAAATCAGTATGATTGATGGTAATGGTGAAATGCAAGAAACACACAAACAAATATGTCACTATACCTGCAATGACACTTGTGATCCTCTGTCCCTCGTACATAGTTGTGTCTATCTTTCCAGTAAGATATACTCTGTGTCTAAAAGGAAAGTAGTAATAGATATATAAACATCTATACATAAAACGTTTTCCCATATCTGAACATATTACATATCTGACACATATCAACAACCTAAAATATTGAAGATATTGAACATTTGAATGCATCAAATCCTACAGATTTTAATGCACTGAACAAATATACATTCCACACATATATTGAGCAATCTGAACATATGTACAATCATATAACGTTTCAACTTACCACACATTTTGAACATACAGACCAGTGACTAAAGTACACCTTACCCTTTCCTGATATACTGCAGAGCCAGATCTCTCAGACCAGGTTGGAAAACTGCTATTCTGTGCCAAGTAGTCTTCTCCATTGGACCTAACAACAACAACAAAAGACAGAATTCACTTTTGGGTTCATATCAGAGGAGTTATATTGGCTATACAGATATAGAAGCTGATGTGTTATGCCGAAGGGCGGTTATAACGGCCATATACTATAGATACAGAAGCTGGTGTGTTATGCCGAAGGACGGTTATACCGGCTGTACAGATACAGAAGCTGGTGTGTTATGCTGAAGGGTGGTTATACCGGCTATACAGATATAGAAGCTGGTGTGTTGTGCCAAGAGGCAGTTATAACTTATACCGGCTGTACAGATACAGATACCAACCATCCTCCCCCTGCCATCTCTCATTGGTTGCCATACTGAAGACGGTTACGGAGCGCGTCCCGATGCCTCCGCGGAGCTGAGGGTCCTGTCCCACCCGGCCCAGCAGGGTCACCTGGTTCACAGCTGGGGAATGTGGAGAAACAAAAAAAGAGCATAAAAACTGTCAGCATAGGCTGTATTAGCCTCTACCAGGCTCCAGGAGGCAGCTGGAAAGTGTAGAAATTGGTGGAAAACTGTATCTATCGGACCAACTCCCCCGGCATGTTATCTCTCTACATTGTATTTGGCCAATTCTACACTTTCCAGCTGCTTCCCAAAGCCTGGTACAGGCTAAGGCTGTATGGCTATGGTAGCTCCATGTTCAATCTCAAGTCTCTATATGGTATGGATAGTGAAGACAACACTCACACACACACGCATGCACGCACGCACACTCACACACACACGCACGCACGCACACTCACACACACACGCACGCACGCGCACACACACTCACACACACATATAACCGTTATACACATGCCATAAAACTGAAAAATTATGAACCCTCACATTTTTCTTTGAGTGGAAAGTTGGTGGCCTGCTCTGACATCCCCTCACATCTCAGCAGACCTCTCTGTAACTGGAAATATGATGGTGACACGGTTATATGTGACTCAGAATCTATAGGTTCTGGGTTTGAATCCCTAGATTCAATATAGGTGTCACAGTGGGGGTTTTATAGGTGCTATCAACTGACCCAGTCGATGGGTCTAGACCTTTTAGCCAAATGGTTAGAGCGTTGGGGTTGTGAGCTGGTGTTTGGTGTGGGTTCGATCCCCAGCCCGGGACCAGGAGTGTCTTTCTATTTCTACTCTTCTAATTCTTACATAGGGCCCGGGAAAGGCACTTAATGACACTGACAATGACATGACATGACAATACCATTATCATCCTCACTCAACTTGACTTTCTTTACTCAACTCAGAAATTATCCATCCCCTTGAAAAATTCCAAATGTGTAAACCCGTGCATATTACGTGATGTTACAGACCATAAAATTGTGTCATGCATTCAATTTTTGTCTGCCCCTCCCCCTTTCTTAAACCATGTGCACTGACTTTGACAAGCCGACACATACACCAACAAAATCTATTTGTTTGAACTCAACTCACCTGAAACACTGACGACCTCAAAGCTCTTCCAAACATTGTCTTCAAGAGGTCCTAACTTTACGTACAAACAAGTAACGTTACAAAGTTGAGAGAAAGTCTCACAGAATTCGAGAAATAATTTTCGCGGGAAATCACTGGAGGTCAAAGGTGAGAGGTCGCCTATGTTTAGCGCAGTGCATTGTGGGAAAATTTTGACCCAAAATGGCGACCAAATGACCGAAATATTTTCTGTCCTGATTTTTCCGCCTTTTTCAGCTGAATTTTTGCTCGCAAAGCTCACCTAGAAGATTATACAAAGGTATGTGCACTTTCTTTCGTCGTTTCTTAGTATTAGAGTAAGGTTTGGTTGTATTAGACATGTATTATTTTAATGTTTGATAGCACAAAAGACGGGTGCACCTGTCTGAAAATAGCCAAATTATGACATGTCGGTTATGAAAATGTGTGCCTAGATTTCCACATCGTTTGTTGTAACATAATTGTACTAAGAATGTTATAAGTTCTTTGTACACCATATATCCCACAACCATTCGTGATGTCCTTTATAAATGTGCAAATTATTGAAGAATTCCTTTGTCAGAAGCCATGCCAGGCTCGTGATCATAAATTTAAATTTGGTATATTTGGCCAAGTGTACAAAAATATATAGTGCTATGTAGACATAACGTTAAAGTCACTCACTGCGCATGTCTTTGGTTCCCAGTATACATATTTACACATGTCCACAATGCAATAATGTTGATCTTCGGGGTGCTAAGTACATGTACTAATGTCCATCCTGGACAGGAAGGGAAGGGCTGCAAAGCATTATGGGTAAGGAAATGAAGCCTGCCATCTCATTCCCTGGACTTGATGTCCCACCCGGGACCTTGTTCAGTAATCGTTAAGATCTCTGATTGTCTTGTTGTGTGTGTGTGTGTGTGTGTGTGTGTGTGTGTGTGTGCGTATGTGTGTGTATGTGTGTTTTCAGCCAAAACGTTGACACAAACAATGCACTATGAATGACATAAATAGAAGGGTTGCAAAGCACTCACATAATGAGTAAGGGAATAAAGTCTGCCTTCTCTGATTGTGATCTTTGTTTGTCTTGTTTTTTGTGTGTTTTTAGCAGAAACGTTGACCCAAACGATGCACCATGAATGACTCCCTGTCCACCATCAACCTGGAACATCTGGGCAACTCTGCCAGCAGTCATGTGACCCTTCCCACAATCCCACAGGCACCATCTGGCACAGGTGAGCGTTCAAAGCTTAAGGATAATACAGGCATCATCATTAGATAGCTTTAAACCATATTTAGGTTTAGATGTTCAAAGACTAGGTGTAACAAGTCTTTCAGTGAAGTACTGCCGCCGCGCCGCGTGCCTGCAAAGTTGGTGTGTTACGACAAAGGGCGGTTATACCGGCTATATACATACAGATACAGAAACATTGTGCTTACGCTTCTACAAGCCGCCTTCTAACATTTAGGATGAACAGTTCCTTCTTAAAAATACTTAAAATCATTGTGTGCTTCTGAAGCTGTGCGTCTAAGCTTCAGCTTTGTATCCTAACTCTCCCCTGTAGGAATCCCAGTGTCCATAGCTAACATCCCGGTGACGCTGAGTTCCGGACTGACCACCACCATCCCCATGCTCTTCCCTCTGGAGAGGCCGATGGTCAACAACGTTAACCTGACCAGCGTCCAGAACGCGCCGGTCGGACTGGACAAGAGCCTGACTCTGGACATCACCTCACTACGACAGATGTCCTCTGGTTTGTAGAATTATAAGTTCATTTCATCATAAGAAAAAGCAAAAAGCAAACATTTAACACAGAGAAAGATTGAGAAAAATCAATTACGCAAGTGATTTTGAAGAGATTGAAAGAGATTTTAGGGACCCACTATACCAAAGCCTTCACCACATAAATTTGATTTCTGTTTCAAAAATAAATATAAAAAAGATCAAACATAATGTTCAGCACATGAATCAATCACATAATGCTTAATATCTGTTATGTCTTTTTTTTATAGCAACAACAATTGAAGACAGTCTGTATCTTCCTAATCGTTACAATTTTTCCATTTACAATGGGCAGGGGGTCGATCATGAGGACAAGTTTGACTGTATTGGAAAATCTTAAAGTTTTTATTTCTCCAAAATGACATTCAGTACTTTATATGACGTGTCTATGTTACAGGAGCTCTCCAGTTGCCTGTAGTATCAGAGGTGCCTCCATCCTCACTGCTGACCTCGGTTAACCCCTCCGACTTACTGACGACAAGTTTCACTCTCATCGCCGCGACAACCACCCTAACAACCAGCACTGCAGCCCTCCCTCCCATCAACACTGGGGTCATCAACCAACAGAACATGCTACAGGTTTGTAATGTAACACTCGCTATCCAGGTTTTGATTATACTACTAACAGCAGTAATGGCATCTGTGTGGTGTAGTGGATAGAGCATCCGACTGTCAAGCAAGGAGACCCAGGGTTGGACCCAGACATGCTTCGATATGCACCCAGACATTGTGCCCTTGGGAAAGGCACTTAACACGTATTTCCCCCCCTCAGAGGGATCCTGGCCCCTACTAGGGTTTAGGTTGGCGTTAGGAAGGGCATCCAGCCGTAAAGTATCTCTGTCTTCCCCGTAAAACAAGACCCTGCTGTATTGATGTCTGTATAGCCTGAGAACTATAGAAACAGAGATTGGTGCTACTAAAGTTAAGAAAGTTTAACTTGACTTTGCACATTTTCCCAGGGAGGGAACACGTCTACCGTGAACGTGACGCCAGTCCCCATGTCGAGTATCTCCGTGTTCCCAAACTCCTCTAACCTGACGGTGACGTCATGTAGCGTTCTGGAGTCCCTCCTGCAGCCCCCCATGCAGAACCCCGTCGGCAGCGGCGAGCGATCGCTGGAGGCTGTCGCTAGGCAACTGGAGGAAGAACTGAACGAACCAATCAAGACAGACTTCTGTAAGTGGTGGTGAAAACCTGTTTGTTTAGTCATATTTAAAGTCAAGTCAAAGTTTATTGCACAACAATAATGGCAGGGATATTGAATAAGACTACCATGTAATTAAATTAATCTAGTACATGTACAATCTACAAGTACATTCTATGTACAATGTATAAGGCAAAAGTGTATAAGACTTCTATGTGTACTACACACTAGTCTACATGTAGTACAATCTACACATAGATTCTAAGCTATACATGTCAATAAGACACAATTTACAATGTAAGGAAAGTGTTATATAAAACAAATGGCTAGTTACTTCTGACTTCTAGAACAATCTAGATGTCTGAAATCTTAAAACTGACTTTTATGTAATAATACTATATATATTACCTCAGTCAGTCAATATTGACCATGGTTAAGTCTTAATTCACATCTAATCAGCTAAAGTATACATGGCTAAACAATCCTTTTTGAGAATGACAGTCTCTTCCACATTAGTACATAGACCATTATGACTCTTAAATGTTAGATTTACTACTAAGTGATGTTAGTTGTAGAAAGTACATTAACATGTTCTCTAATTTGTTCATTAGAAAGATCTTACCTGTTTTTTTCCGTGTTGTTGTGTTTCCAGGGTGTGTTAGTTGTGAGAAAGCATTCCCCTCTGTGTGCAGTGTACATGGAGTACCTACAGTAATACAGGACACACCGATAGAGTCCCATGCCAGGATGACTCTACCCAGGGACCTGGCTCTCCAGCCTTCTAACATCACCACTTCTGGAACTGGTAATGCTCATGGTTTAACCTCCAACCAGCAAAGATATAGCCTTAGTGTACCATGTGTGTGTTGGTCATGGGGCAAGATAACAGAGAAGTTTAAACGCTTTTTTTTAGCATACCTGCACTAGACAAATTTTACCTGCACTAATCTGCATATGTAGGGTACATTGCAAGCTCTGATGTATGTATTGGCTATGGGACAAGCTTAAGGCAGTAGTGAAAAGGTTAAATTGATTATAGGTATGTTAATGCAACTTTTAGAAACTATTCTTATTATCATAATAGTACAGATCACTAAGTCTTCAAATAAAGTTTTCTTACATGTATGAAATGTTTGAAACATTTTTTTGTTCTCAATTTTTTCAGGAGTGTTTGCAAGAACAACCATCCAAGCCAGAACCCAGTTTGGTCCTCTTCAGGGCAAGATTGTGAAGAAGTCAGATGTAGAATGTGAATCTGACTGGACCAATATGTGGGAAGTAAGTAAACCTTTATCATTTTAGAATTATAAATACAGTAGGTTAGTAATATAATATTATGATACAATCAGATGTGTAGGCCGTTGTTTCAATGTAAAATAATAGTTAAAAAAAACTTTTTGATTGAGTTACTAAGTGAAGAACAAATTTGCATATTGTTCACTGTCACATTTTCTACACAAACTACTTATTAAGTTACATTATGCACAGTTAATAACTGTTTGCTCTTACTCTTTAACCTCCTTGCTCAAACCCATTCATATAATATATATGGTGACCAGCCTTTCCAAACGGGGTGTCTGCCACAGCACCAGTTACCATGGTGACAGACATCTGGCACATTGATCTTATTTGTTAGCAAAAACAATGTTTTTAATTACGTTCTTTTCAGATTTTCCGTGACGAGCGCTCGAGTCACTTCATCGACGCTCGAGACGAGAACGAGTCTAACTGGATGATGTTCGTGAAGCGAGCGCGGACGTCTCTGGAACAGAACTTGGTGGCGCACCAGTGCGGCGGAGACGTCTTCTTCACTTCCTGTAAGGACATCGCGGAGGGGGAGGAACTGCTCATGTGGTTTGCTGGCAACTATGCAAAACTTACAGGTACTACTAGGAATTTAGCAACTGCTCTACATTCAAGCAGTTGGGAAGACACCACAACATGTAAACTAATATCATGTTTTTTGCTGTATGCAAAGTTGACAGGTAGGATTTATAAAATTTGTTAATGCTTGCCTGACAACAGGTGCTAATCCAGATGTGGTTCACAGGGAACTATGCAAAACTGACTGGTAGGAATTTACAGACCTTAGCTATATTATGTAGAATTTCAACTATTTCAAACATTGGTGTTTTTCTTGCTCTGTACGCCATGTCGGTTCATAATGACATTTGGGGATTAAAAGATCAAATTTGTTATGCCGCTAAAACGTGTTGGAAAACTCGGTGCTTTGCCATGTTTGTTTATGCCACAGGGCTACAATTTTGTACATTTCGTGTGTGATGTACACATGTATCAATAAACCAGTTCATCTCATCTCTACTCACAATTACAGGTGTTACGAGCAAGCCTGAGCAGTCGTACAAGTGCTGCAGCTGTTCCCGACAGTTTGCTGACCTCGGCGCTCTGAGTCGGCACACCAAGTACGCTCACCCCGACATGAGTGGACGGAAGTGGAAATGTGAGCTGTGTGAGAGAGCCTTCACCTCATCCAGCAAACTGCAGGTAAAGTCAGCATGAAAGTTCATCTGTGTTGGTACAAGTCGTTATGAAATAGAGACTAAGCTTTAATTTCCAACACTAACTCCAATGAATTGGGACTTACCCCAAAGTTTCGGTTGACTCCATCAACCTTGTTTACGGAATGGACCCGTCTACTCTTTGCAAGAGGAGTGAAGGAAACGGTCTACATAAGAGCTCACAGACCTACCCTGAACAGAGATGGGGGCCGACACAAGTTATCTGGCACATACATGTATGACCCGCTACTACGGTCACGTGTCTCTGACATCACGTTCGAAGAGTAGACGGGTCCATTCCGTGAACAAGGTGGATGGAGTCAACCGAAAAGTCCCATTTCTTTGGAGTTAGTGTTGGAAGTTCAAGCTTAGTCTCTATTTCTTAATGCAGGTAAAGTTGTTAGTAGCTGTAGGAGTAGGTACCAGTTCAGCTGGACAGAGTCTGACTCAGGATAACAATCCAAGAACCGAGTAAAAAAAAACTTGTGAAGAAAGCCGTGAACCAAGTGTTTTTGGACAGAAATTTCAACCGTGCCAGAGCATGATTCTGGATAAAGCACAGTTACGAATACAACGTAGGCAAGATACAAATGTGCAGGTGAGTTTCCAACATTTTTCATTAACCAAATTTACTTGATTGTAGCTACTTGACGATATGTATATATGTAACGTTATCTGTATTCCATCCTTTTGTTGTGACCTGTACTTAACCCAGTGGGTATGTGTGTACAATAAAGGTACAATTAATTCATTAAAATTGTCAATACTGTTGTTGGCATAATTCTTCATATTGACCATGATGTTTTCTTCACCACAGGTGCATATAATGGTGCATACCAAAGTGAAACCTCACAAATGTAACTTCTGTGAGAAAACCTTCACAGACCCCAGCAACTTGAGAACACATCTCACCATACACACAGGTAAGACAAGGAGTTTCACAGTCTTTAATATTAGATAAATCTAAACTCCATGGAAATTTTTTCAGTTGTCGCTTTGAATACAAGAGCTTCATTGAACCGTGAACCCGTCATTATAACCCTGATAAAGATGACAGGTGGTCATCAAAACATTGGCTCATGGAAACAAGTGGCTGTGAATAAAGAACTTTGATATTCAGTCATTCACCAACCTGATGATAATTATTTATGGAGATACGACGAAAAGCAGTTACTCAAGCATCTGGATATGATTTTAGAGTTCTTGAGGTCCAGTTGGAACTTTGGAACTAGTTGCTTGAATAACTGCTTTTTGGCGTATCTTATTACCTGGGTGTCTGACATTCATCTACTTATTTATGGAGTTGTGTACAATTTTTTAATTCATGTTGTCAATGTTTGTACTTTAGGTGTGAAGAAGCACGCCTGCTCCGTCTGCAACAAGACGTTCCGTCAGAAGGCCCACCTGCTGTCCCACATGGTCACGCACACCGGCGAGAAGAAGATGAAGTGTCAGTTCTGTGACAAGATGTTCTCCCGCCAGTCAGACGTCAAGCAGCACATGTACATGCACACGCGCGACCGCGAGGTCAAGTGCGACACCTGCGGGAAGGTGTTCTGGCGTCTTCAGCACCTTAAGAAGCACATGAAGTCCCACACCGGAGAGCGGAACTTTCCCTGCGAGCGCTGCAGCAAGGCGTTCTTTACTAAGTACCATCTAAACAGGCACAAGAAGGCCTGTAAGGGACGGGGCACGCCACAAAGTGATACGGATGTCGTGCGCGTCGTAATTTCCGAGATGCCCCCTGATAATGGGGGACCGTCTCAAAACGTTGACGTCACGCGCGGTAAAGCCTCCAAAAAACAGCAGAGAAGGCAGAACACCAAAACGCGTTCATCTGCGCTGCAGTTTCCAACAGAACTGATTGGGGGCGATGAAAGAAGTAGTCTACTTGATCAACAAACAGTTCAAATAGTAGATAGTAATGACTTGATATGCAATGGCAACAACAACGGGGGTATAGTTATGCCTGTGCCCATTGTGCCTAATATTGTCAACACAACTGGAGGTCTGATGCCACAGGTCATCATTCAGGGTCAACAGGTCACGCCCGTGTCAGAGGTCGAAGTTCATCAACAGAGATAACAATTTGATACTGATAGCTTGATAGAAAATTTTACTTGATTTTATTTTCGTGCCTCAACACAGTGGTAGCCTGATGACCCAGGTCATCATTCAGGGTCACAGGTCACACTGGTGTCAGAGGTTGAAGTTCAACAACAGAGATAGTAATTTGATACAGATAGCTAACAAATAAAAAAAACTTTTCTTATTTTAAGTTGTAGTGAGATAAACTTGGTTGTCCTTCTCCCAAATCTTTTATCCAAATTAGCTTGATGTATTTAAAATTCAAGCTCAGAAAGTATTGCCTAAAATGTGTGAAAGTTAAGAAAAGGTAGACATACTAATATTTCAAACGTTACAGGGATATTTGGTGTGTGCATGTTCAACGAAAACAGTTCTTACATGACTCTGCATTTCATAACTTCAGTTAGAGCTTAGCTGGAGGATTGGCTAGGCCAAATGTTCAAGTCTAACCAAGGGTTACATCATGTATTAATAAGAAACCAGCAGGCACAATTCTATTCTATTGTCAGTTTAAAATCATATGTCTGCTGAGCTGTAACAGTTCAATCAGCACATAATGCAGACTTAAATAATAAATGTGTAAAAAGTGGAAAAATCACTTTTTTCAGTATTATATGTATTTTAATGTGTAGGTAGTCAATTGTATTTTTATTTTCTGTGGTCATTTGGACCTAGTTGTCATGATCTGTATTCTTTTTGAGCTTTTGCATGACAGAAAAATGGGGGGGGGGCATTAAAAATGTAACTTTATGGGGTCATTTTAATAATCCCCACTCCATTTATTGTTTTGTGAGAAAAATGTTTCCAAAAATTGTGCATTGTTTTAGATCAGGGCTTGGCCGTACACAACACTGATAAATTATTACATTGTATTTTGTGTGATTTCCTTGTTCAAATTGTAGACTATTTATGAAATGAAAGATACTTTTGGTGAATATTAATCATATTCACACAGGTAATATTGATGATGTATGTTTTGTAGAATTTTATTTTATGAATAAACATTGAAAACTATTCTACGTGTCACTTTTGTCAACTGTAATACTATATTTTAAACATTGGCTGACTGTATCCCATTTTAATGTTAATGCATTTTGTACTCATCTATTGTGAGTGAAAATAATACAATTTCCATGTTGCCTATACCATGTTCGAAATTCGTGCACATATTTTGCAATTTTATGAGAAAATAGTACTAAAATATATGGGTTTTTTTTTTTTCAATTCAGGCACCTGGCCCATATAAACATAAAAAAGGGATAAAGTATGGAAACAGGAAAAAGATACAGCTACTGCTTAAAATTATTCCCCAAAAAAATGAGTACCAAAAAGTACAAGAAAAAGATGTGCAGTACTCAATGCAGTAAAAAGACACATAAAACACTGAGCCGGATCCTTGTATCTGCTTGGAGATTTACCGTCAGTGTCCGTGTGCGAATCAGGATCCACCCACCTGTGACATCACGTCAGCTGCGATGACGTCACGTCAGACCCACCCTCCATTGTTGTACCTGTCCCACTGCGCATGACAAGACACGTCGTCACCACCACTATCCACCCCTACCTGTACGTACGATTTTTGTTTGTCGATCCGGTTTTTCCAGGTCACTCTAGATGTCATCGTCCGAAGGCCCTGAGCCGAAAAAACCAAGGACTTCCAGTAGTGAACTACAGGTATGTCAGCATGTGTTATATAAAAGGTTTGTAGTTAGTTACTCTTGAAAAATTATATATCACAACCTTTGCGAACTCTTGATTTGAGACTGGTAATTATTTCTGACCTATTAAACCAGTCGGGTGTACCAAAATTTGTCCCAAAATAAGTCTGCAACGTGGCTTGCAGTTGGTAATTTTGAGCTACAATTCTAATCGTCCACATAGCTATATATCGAGAATGCACTGTAAGATAGTGTAATCATTGGAACGTTCAGTTATATGTAGTTCTATTTAGATTTCTGATTGAGAAATGAGAAAACAACCTACATTATAGTCACTTACATAAATCTCCCGCCTGAGGCTAAAGCATCCATGCTTGTGTACATATCCGCACATAAACATACGGCCATTTTAGATATAAATTCCCTGCGAAAATCAGCGGAATTTGTCAAGCTGGGAAACAACCTATATAGCTATTACTCGAGATCTGCATTGCATTATATATGATTTAGTCACGCAAGCGGGTATTGTTAGAATAATTCAATCACAACAAAGGCGATGTCGTGTAATTCCATTGATGTGTATCATGTCCTTTCCCACTTTACACGACTAGTAAATTGTATCCTTTATGGGAAAATTAAGCACCCACTTCAATGTTAGTATCGTATTTCAGTTTATTTTTCTTGGCCTTACTAAAAACTTTAAAGTGTACATCTTAGCATGTCCACAAACGTCACTCACTAGTACTCAACTCCCCCCGCCCCCTTTCCTTTTCCTAATCTTCAATCAGATCTTTTGGTGGCTGCAAAGAGAGAGTATCAAATTGGCCAGGCAGCATCCATTTGTCAGGCAGTTTATTCAATACCATTGACTGGCGTAAAGAAAGATCTAGATACTGGTACAAAAATACAGCCTGTAAACACCCAAATACAACACCTCTGCTTGGAGAGTACCACCAATTACCATAATCAAGGAGCCAAACTTGATCAAGTGTTTGAACACATTAAGGGTAGTTTCGATCACGATTGCTTAGTCCAGTAACCATGTACCGCACTGTCACGGTGAGAGAAGTGTACACAAACACTCAGTGTTAAACACCGTTTGCAGAATTGTACCGTAAACAACGGAATTGTACCGTAAACAATCATCACGTACTGAAGTATCTAATCCACCTGCTTACAGTATTAAGCTATTGGAATATTCCACAAATTGGGGGAGGAGCAAAACAGAAAAAAAAAAACATTTTGTACATTGTATCGCTACCCCTTCCCTTGAAATTACTAAGTAGGCGTATATAAGTGTATTGTGTTATGTTCTAAGGTCTTATTCCTTTCAAAGACAAAGAATAAACCAATCACTGCCCACCTTTTATTCTAATTCATCAATAATCACCACATTCTTTTCAAAAATTGACCAATAGTTGCGCCCCTCTCATTCCGGTTTTAACACCCCTCGTTAAAACCAGATTTCCACCCGTATTGTTACGGAATGCTATAATCCTCACGTGCTAGTCAAAACCACGAACAAATGGCGACAACTGGGTCCCAGGGCACGCCTAAATATTCATGTAGACTTAAACCTTGTAGCCAGGATTACTGTAAGCATTATTCGAATTGAAATTTAAATTCGCACAGGTACAGCTTATTAATCGACTACGGCGATGAAGGTTGGACATCCAGGTAATGAGATACACAAGAAAACAGTCACGCATTCACAAGCAGTTGGATAGAATTTAAAAACTATCAGACGTTTCAAGAGCATCCACTAGTTATCATCAGTGACTAACGGAAGTCTGTATCCAAAAACGAATTGACATGTAAATGAGATGGCATAAAGACCAATTTTAGACAGATTATTCATCAATTAGTTGATTGGTTAGTGTGACTAGTTGACTCATCAATAGGTTAATTGACTTATTAACTTTTCAGACGCTCGGCAAGATGAACAGTCTCAGCAAAACCGACCCGGAGCTGAGGTACAAGCGGATGGGGTTCGAACCCACACCGGAGCTAAGGGCGGAATGGAAGCGGCGATTCGGCAAAGAGGTTCGTCATAGACAGATATTTAAAAAAAAACAATTTGCCAAAGACACCAGAAATGTATATTTTTAGTATAGATGAATCGACCCTGACATTTATATACAAGATATTTGATGGTCAGTTTATTATGAAGTAAAATACATGACATAAGGCAATGGTCTGATAATTTCCTTGCAGGTAAAACTACTAATTTAAAAGAGGGTTTGCCACAATGACTCAATACAAAACTTCATCGTAGGTCTCTAGAATGCCTGAATCTTGGTATAGATTGCAGATTCGATAAACTTAAATAATCTCCTCCAAAATCCTTTGCAGGCTGAATAAAAATAGTAGAAATCGGCCAATTATATCACCTTTTTGGGCCGATTTCTACCATCTATTCAGCCTGCAAAGGAGTCTGGTGGAGACTAAAACTTAAAGGTAACTGTAAAATATTTGGAGTTTATGAAATAATAACCAACCTGTGTTCTTCAGGAACCACACATAGCTACGTTGATTCTCGCGAGAGGTGGCAGTAAGGGCATCCCCATGAAGAACAACAAGAAGCTGGGAGGGCTGGAGCTGATCGGCTGGGTCATCCGGGCTGCCTTAGACTCCGACATCATGGACAGGTTCGCTCGTTTGTTTGTTTGTTTGTTTGTATGTTATGTTTGTTTGTTATGTTTAACTAGAATGAAAACATATTGTTTTTGCTCTGTCTCTTCTTCCTCTTCTTCTTCTCCAAGCAAATAAGGTCAATGACCTGAACCAGACGTCTGTCACCCTAGTAACATCATGGTGTTGGGTTACATCATGTTGCAATTTTATAGCAGGAGGGATTTATACTCCTGACCATATATATTGTAAGAATTAACAGAGCAGACCATATGTGAAGGTAAACGTTTTGCATTTGCTTTGCAAATGTTACCTTTCTAGTTTGTTGGTTTGGCATAGCCGGTAACATACCAATTTTGCACAGTAAGAACAAGCTGCGTAAGATCAGACTTTTAGGAGAGGGAGAAAGGGAGTGGGAGTCAAGTCAAGTCTAATGGATAGAGAAATAGAATAACACAATCTTCCCTTTCTTTCTTTTTAAATTTCACACAGTATCTGGGTGTCCACGGACCATGATGACATCGCGGCCACAGCGCGCAGGTGAATGAAAACTGAATGAATACTTCTATATATTCACATTGCATTGGCAGCCGAGTTGGCTGAATTACACTAAGTGTTACAGATTAAAAACTTGGGGAACACAAGTATAAAGCGATATAGACCGTAGTACTTCAAGTTACTAGTATTCGTGGGTGTTCACAAAATTTAAAAAAAACAACAACTTTGAAATGCACATTACAAAGAACGTTATTGACAATTGTAGTTTAAAAAATTACAAATATTGATGGGTGGGTCAATTACGAATAGACACAGACTATTACTATACTTACAGATCCTGATTACTGAGGCTTTTCTCAGTCTTTCAGTTCTGAATTTTGGTGTGGTTTCCGTTTCTAAGGTGCGGTGCGCAGGTGCACAGACGCTCTGCCGAGGTGTCTCAGGACACCTGCAACTCCTGGGTCACCATCGACGAGTTCGTCAGGTATCATCCGGAGGTAGACATCATCGTGGACATACAGGTGAGACATTGCTGTTTGTCAGGTCTGTGTCTTATGTTCATAAAGATGGCAATTACTACTTATAGTCAGCGAAAAAGAGATGGGCAAGGAAGGGGGGAGTGAGGCAGGGAAGGAGAGAGAAAGGGGAGAAATGCAGGAACGCAACAGGTAATACTTCTTTAAGCAAACTTTTCGTATAAAGCTAGTGGATTTAGTCCACATGGGCTAGAATTTCAAACGTGCAAATAAAAAAGATTATTCCTCGTAAAAAAATCGCCATTGATGCCAACAAATAGAAACAAAGCAGAGGGGAAAGTTTCCATTTCATTCTCCCGGTGAACTTTCTATTGATTCTCCCAACATTCGATGACGTCATTTTGAATTTTCCCCAGGCGACGTCACCGTGCCTCCACCCGTTCCATTTGCATGACGGGATGCGCCTGACGCTGAAGGACGGTTACGATTCGGTCTTCACTGTCGTCAGACGTCACGGCTTCCGGTGGACGGACCCGAAATGGGGTGAGTAGCTATAGTACGACTTTGAGCCATATCCATACATTTACAGAGTTTTGTGATGTTTATCCTCCAGTTCGTCACACCGTTCACTTTTCTGTTTCGAAGTCCTGCAACAACAACTGTTTTTTTTCTAGGACTGCAAAATGATGAAACTTTAAGAGTGTTTTAGATAGCCCCAAAACATACTATGTGAGGACATGGAAGTAGAATTCTACCTCCATAATGAGGACACTGAGGAGTGCATTTATTTTTTGGTACTGCCCATATTTAGTTAGTATCAGCCTACGATAGATAAAAGATGGCAACTGTTTTTCGTGAGCAACATCGCCTTTTTGCCTCACAGATATCATTATTCTACGGGATAGAATTGATTCAACTTACTATGTTTTAAGAATGACGAGAAAATTTATTTTTGAAAATGCACTTTTCCCGCCCTGACGTTGCATTGTATGTCTTTAACACAAACTGCAATTTCACGTAGATCTGTTGATGTCTCGTCAAAAGCAGTTACTCAAGCAACTGGATATGATTTTGGAAAAGGTCAAAACCGACCGTTTCCAAATTGACCGTTTCCAAAATCATATCCAGTTGCTTGAGTAACTGGTTTTGGCGTATCGTATTACCTGGATGTCTAACCTTCATCGACGTCTGTTGATCTCTTCCCATTCCCAGGGATTCAGCCTTTCCCCCTGAACTTCGACCCCGCTAAGCGACCGAGGCGTCAGGAATGGGCGGGAGAGATCGTGGAGAACGGAGCTTACTACATGATGACTCGGGACGTGGAGCAGCAAGGCCTCATGCAGGTAAACACAGAAAACATTCAACTAGAACGGTAACATTTGCAAAGCAAATGCATAAAGACTATCATGAAAGTTCATCTGTGTTGGTAGTTACATGTTTAGAGCTAAAACTTTAGATCCAACACAAAAAATTCTCTCACCGGCCTTGAGCTTTCGACCAGTCACTCTGGTCTTTCTCAGTAGACTGACCCAGTGAGACTTGTCACGTGGCGTCTTTGAATTCGAAGTGTGACGTCAACACTGGGCCAGAGGTATCTGGTAGAAATGCATAATGTTTAGTTTACCTTCGCATATGGTCTACTCTGTAATTAATTCTGACTCAAACACATTCATATACATGTGTATATGGTCAGACAGGCATCTAAATCCCTCCTGCTATAAAATTGCAACATGATGTAACCCAACACTAGTGACCATGGGAAATGTAGCCTGTGTGCCATCCCCAGTACTATTCACCCGCTAGCTTACAACGGGTCTGGACTTGATGACATATGAAACGTCAGTGATAGCTGGCGACATTATAGAGCGGGCGAATACTACTGGGGATGGCACCCAGGCTAGGCGAAATGTCTAAGGGCTTCAAAAAGCACACTACAACAAAATACTGGTAGTTACTGATCTGCACATGTTATCGTTGTTCAGGGTGGGAAGATGGCGTATCTCGTGATGGACCCGGAGTACGGAGTGGACATCGACACGGACCTGGACTGGGAGATCGCCGAGCAGCGGCTCTTCCGATTCGGCTACCACGGACGGACACCCAAGGTAGGTACAACCTTAGGCCCCTGTCACACATAGCTAGTCTCTCTCACAGGCTTCGGGGGCGGCTGGAAAGAGTACAGTTTTCGGGTGCGACAAACTGTACTAACTACCCTGACATACTATCTCTGTATTTGGCCAATTTCTACTCTTTCCAGCCGCCTGACGAAGCCTGGTAGAAGCTAACACATAGCCTAATATGGTCACCCGGGGTTCTCTTTGGTTATCACACGGAATTCCAAATGTTCCAGAGAATATTCGAACGATTTTTGCATTCGCCGCGTGCACGTCTTTCGAACATTCGAATACCAGATTCGGATGTTCGAATTAACGTTTTTTAAACCAAATTTTACCCATTTTGCATTGAAATATGTGTTTTATTGGGTGGGTATGCCATAAATAAAATACATGTACGATACGGCAAATTCCTAACCTTGGGTTATACGGAATGCACCCCATGGTATTCTATTGTGTATTTTTCACTCCCATATTGTTAATTGTTAATCACGTTATGAAGGGAGGCCTCCTCATAAGCATTTTATGCTTCCGGTCTCCCTGCACTGTTACATTTCATTTATATTTTCTTGTATTTGTATTCTTACATTTTGTTTTAAAGTGCGAAATAAACTGAACTAACTGAACTGAACTAATATTAACTCGTTTTCCCACTCCCTGTCCGTCAGACAGTAAAGCTGGTTGTGGTGAACATTGACGGGACGCTTCTCGACGGTCAAGTCCAAGTTTCTCCCACCGGGGAGGAACTCCGCTCGTTCAAGACCACGGACATCGTCGGGGTGCAACAGCTGCAGGAGAACGGGATAGAGGTGTGTTATTTTCAATTCATTTATTCTGCAGCAAGTCCTACAGAAGCAGGCTGGGTTAGCTGCACACCGCCGGCCCACAAACACTAGTGAACTGATCGTTCGTCCGGATGATTTCAAAGACGGGCTTTATTATTAGTTTTACATATTTAGAAACACGGTAACAGACATACAAAGCTAAAGCATCAATACATGTACATGTAATAACTTAAACTGTAGGCCAAAATTTTATCTGTGTTAGTAGTTACATATTATGTTTGAAGTTAAAAAACTTTTGTTTAGGCCACACAAAAATTGTTCTGTCACGTGGCTTCTCTCTATCTGAGATCAATCCTTTGTGTTGGAACAAAAGTTTCATTGTGAAATAAAAAAAAAAAACAAAAAAAAACATTACTTTGCTTGAAGTGATGTTTAACGTAAGTTCTTGATCCTTTGCAGTTCCGTGTTGTTGCCGAGGGCGACAACGAAGTTCAGCGGGCACTAGCTGACAAACTGTCCGCCAAACTAGAGGAGAACTGTACGGTACGCTCACTTTGTATTCTCTATATATTCCTGTGTGAATGTGTTACTTGAATGTGGTCTATAATTTGCTGCTCTTAAAAATACTACCGAATGCTTTTCTGAATGATTCTAGTCTGGTAACCTATTTTTTAGCTCCAGAGTCCTTATCCTCTGCGGAAATAGAGGGGACTCGGCAGCTATCAATGGAGTCATGGCGGCCCATCTTTCTGTAAATGAGGAATACTCTTCAAATATCCATTCAAAATTGCTCAGTACAGTTTCGTGCACGACAACTGAATGGCAATCATAATTTGATTTGTTAGTTGATTTTGACAAACCCAGAAATTTAGGTTTATTTCTAGTCCGAGGACTGAATCGTTCTAGCCTGTTTACCAGGCCTATAACCTATAGCTGTGTTGTAGACTAAAATCGTTGCCATGGTTACAGGACAAGCTGACAGTGATAGACGCGTGGCGACAGGAGCTGGGGCTGGAGTGGAAGGACATCGGATACATGGGTAATGTAACGCGTCAACGTCTCTCTCTCTCTCACTCACTCACTCTCTGTCTCTCTCTCTCCTCTCACTCTCTCTCTCTCTCCTCTCTCTCTCTCTCTCTCTCTCTTTCTCCTCTCACTCTCTTTCCTCTCCCTCTCCCTTTCTTTCACTCTGTCTCTCTCTCAATCCATATAGATGCCGTCCATATCTTGGACACGTTAGTACAGCATTTAGTGAAGCCACTCTTTGTTTTTTTGTACTTAATTGGACATCGGATACATGGGTAACGACTAACGTACCTTCTCTGTCTCCGAAATTTTGTCATCCTTATTCTCATACAGCATTTGGTACAGTCCACCTCTCAATGATTTACTGCATCTCAGTAGCTTTATAATAAAGGATATAATCAAAGTTGTACAAATACTGCCATTGGTGTACAATTCTATTCCAAATTCGTCTGAAAATGACCAAAAAATTACAACATCGTATTACTAAATTCAAACCCCTTTCCTCTCCAAGTTACCAACACATGAAATTTCACATCGAAAATTTGACCTAATGTCATTACAGTGTGATGCTTTCTGGAATTGTGCAAAAGTGAACAGTCGCAATGTAGTAGCAAAATCATTCTTTATCCACAAATAAGAAAAACGACATTCAGCCCAGGTGACGTCGATCATAACTGACCGAACTTGCAAGGAATATTAGACACATAACACTGTGATACAGTACATCAAGAAACGTTCTTATAAAATATAACGAGTATTTCTCCCACCCCCAGGATATGACATCAGTGACATGACGTGCATTAAGAAGGCTGGGATGTCCGCCTGTCCGTCTGACGCGTACGCCGCCATACAGAAACATTCCCACTTCATCTCCACATACCGGGGCGGACAGGGCGCGCTCAGGGAGTTCTGCGAACAGGTAAGTTTTTATTTTAATCAGAAAAACAGTAATGAATACAAATGAAAGGACACAGTCAATGTATATATAAACATAGTCAGAGACATTTAGAGCAAAATGTTTCAAACGAGTAGAAACGCTAATGTATTGTTTTGGTATAATAATTTCAGGTCTACTGTAAATATAGTACTGTGTGAACCCCTTTATGTCCTTTATGTGGACAACCTAGCTAGTGCGCAATGTACTCTGTATATGACAGGGCCAATTTTAACTTTATACGTTGATGTAGTTGTTAAACTATCTTTAATTAAAGATAGTAGATTTCTCCTTACAGCCCTCTATACTCATTGTGGCCAATGTCACGATATTCTATTTTGTGGTCTTTCCAAGGTACTGAACAGGCTATCCATTAGATATTGGGTATATGACGTGAAGTGTTGCAAGTACCTGCCCGAGGGGTAACTGCAAGTACAAACAACATGTATGAAAAAGAAAATAGAATGATATGGGAGACTACTTCTAACGTTATGGTACATTATAGAACATACGTGATACTAATTTTGCTAGGTAACAAAACGTAGAGCTGACCCGCTAATTACATTGAATTTGATGCATGGTCTCGCGTGTGTGTATGAAGCAATGCTTACGTAGGGCAATTAATGAGCTGGGATCGCTGCTTGTACTTTGCCGTTTTTCCCGCTTCTGCATAAGCTGCAAACAAATTTGCTGCTTTGCTGCAAACAAATTTGCTGCTTTGCTGCAAACAAATTTGCTGCTTTGGACACACGCAAACACACACACACACACACACACACACACACACACACACACACTCCTCTTGCCCCCCACCCCACCCCCAATTCCAAAGGGCGAAGACCAATGGGAAACCGGTGAGAAAACAAGCATCAAGAGTCATTGCTGACAGTGGCTTTTGCGATTTTTGGTGGATGAGAAAACGGTGGCTTTGCGGCTACGTACAAGGTGGAAGGCTTACCAGATCTTGCCGAGGATACAGCTTGTACTGTATTCTGTATTTGCATGGTTGAAGCGGTATAACCGCCCCTCTGCGTATCACACCAGCTTCGCAGGCACGCGGAGGTCTCACAAGGATTGACCTTTCAGACCTTAGCCATGCACACTAACAAAACTGCAGTGTAGTGATAACAGTTCTAACGCTTCTAGCTGAGGAGGGAATGCTCGGCGCTACATGGTGAGATGTTTGTCAATCGTTTTTCTAGAATGCTTATCTTATCTTAACTCTTTGAGCAATAAAATGCTGCTTGAATACAACGCCAAGCATATAAGTCATTCCTATATGGCACATAGCTTAATTGTATAGACAAATGACTACATAAAGTAAAATGCACTGAGATTTATAAACTGTACTTGTACATGTTTGTTTGTATCCTAATCTAAGATATGCTAATGAGGATCATTAAAGATAATTTTTAATACACATATTTCAGACATGGCGTTTAGTTACATCACACCATTTGATTGACAAATGAAAAAGGCTTCGGGAGGCGGCTGGAAAGAGTAGAAATCTGCCAAATAGAGTGCGCCAAAATGTTCTCTCCAGCAGACCAACTCCCTTGGCAAGCTATCTCTCTATTTGGCCGATTTCTATTCTTTCCTGCCGCCTTCCGAAGCCTGGTATAGGCTAATGTGGCAGAGCTAGAGGCTAGTGATATCGATGAAGTTCAAGTCCCGTATCTCCACTCTTTCCAGATCCTGAAACACGTACACGGCATCAAAATGAAAACGTACACCCTGCTGGCTGACAGGACAACCGACGACTTTCCCGAACCCGTCTCCACCTGGCTAGCCAGGCAGTCACAGACGGGACAGGGCGGCGAGCATCTCTCTCTAGTTGAAAGATTCAAATCACTTTAAAAACAGTTAGTTACTGATATAGGGATTTTCTTTTACACAACCAGTATTGTTTCTTAAATAGCTTACGTTTCGGGAAGAAGGTGTCTGATAGACACCAAAACGGAAGCACAGTACGGGAAAATAATGATCTCAGGTGGCAAATGATTAACAGGAAAAGTTTAGAAATCTGCAATATTAGCGCCGTCATAGGAAGGTATATTTCTTTAAATATTAACTTAAAGGTTAACAGAAAGGTAGATAAAGACCTTTAGGTTCTGTTGTAAGAGCCTTATTTTCCTATGATCTAACAACCTGAAGAAGCTGTCTAAAAACTTTTAAGATAGCCACAAGTGCAAAGGCTAACGAATATTATATGTATGCATCATGATAATATTGAGGTGTAGCTCCATCGCACAAAATAGGATAATAAGTTATAACATTCAGTTTTCTATAAGCATGTTGTAAGGAGCATCTCCTTATAAAACATATCTAGAGTATTTACACCGTGTAGTCAAATTGGAATATTATATTTTATCGATATAGGTGGTACCGATGAGGTTGTCATTTTCAATAAAGATTTCAAGACAAAAGGAATAACCATGGATATTTGATCATGCATACACCTATCTGAGTGTATTTGTGCAGCCTATAAAAGAATTCTACCTTTAATTTACAACAATGTCGTTTCTGTGTGTGGATGCAGTGGTAGATGTTTTTCTGCCATTGCTTTGTCTGCGAATTGGATGTTTTTTGAAAGGTAATTTCTACCTCACTGGTTTAATCTTGTTTGGAGACTACTAGTACCTTCTGCAGTAGTTCCTCTGCCAATCCTAAGGTGGTGCACAGATACCAAGCTCGCAAAGCACTATGGGGCATTTAAAAACGTCACACTGGTAGTTTGCATTCTGTTATGCCATTGGTCAAAAAGCACTGGTCCCTTTGCAAAGTTTTGTGGGGAATATACAAAACGCCAGTACTATTTGGACGAACAGCACTGATCACGACAGCACTTCAGTTGAATTAATTAACCCGCAACTCACGGTTAGTTTGCGCTCAAACTGTTTTGTAGAGAGAGATGTAGTTAATATGCATGTATAGTGGTTTTGCTGTTTGCTATTTCTCTCTCACTGCTTTTAACAAGTTTCAAAGGTTATCATGAAAGTTCATCTGTGTTGGTAGTTACATGTTTAGAGTTAAACTTTAGATCCAACACAGAAAGCTCCAGTGAGAGAACTTTTTGTGTTGGATCCAAAGTTTTAACTCTAAACAAAGGTTATGGTAGAAATGAAGGGGAAGCGTTGTCCTTTGTTCAGAGCATGCATTTTCTTTATTTTTTTACTGTTCTTTACTTGCAATGTCAAAGATACAAACGCCTTTCTCACTTTCCTTTCGCACTGCATTCTGGAAAAGGTTTGTCGTCACTTCCGTTTCCTGTCACGCGGTGTATTCTGGGTAACGATTCTGCTGTTCTATGCCGCCATCGCAGATTCTGAAGGACGAAGAAAAGATGGGGACCTACGCTGACGTCACGGAGCGGATCTTCGAGGATTTCCCTAAGCTGTGGTCTGCAAGCCCCACGCGCAAAGCCCGCACAAGGAGCCTTTCCCAGAGCCAGTCTACAGCAGGCAGCGACGTTCCATCGATATAATCAGCATCCATCTTATGTTTCTGACCTTGGGATTGTTATTCAAGTGGAAAGTGTGAAATAAAAAAAGTTACACTGTGACGGTAAATAAGAGGATGAAGCTTCGAAACGCTGTAACTGTACACAAAAGTTATGTGGTTTAAAAAATCCAAGAAGTTTTTGGTTAGATCTCTTCTTGATGTCGAGTTTTGATGAACACGATACATTCTAGTCATTATAAGAATATTACTTATTTGCATCTTTAAGGCAAATTGCGTTCGTAAGTCTCCATACATGTTTTGCCAGTCTAAGAAAAAATATTGAAATCTGGCTCTACTGGATAATGCAACTGCTCTGCCAGCAGATTGGGTATTGCAAGAAGGTAGTTATGTTGAGGATGGTTGTATAAGTATTGGAGTCTCTGCTTTGGATTCAGATGAATGTAATTACATGATGGAAAGTAAATAAAGTAACGACTAATATGGTGTAAAAATCACGTGAAGTGTCGTTATTTGTGAAACGGGTACACCATTTGATTGTTTATTCGTGAAATACTCAAATCAGCCTTTTTGCCATTTTGATCAAGTTTGAAGTTACCATCACCTCCCAAGATGAACAGATGCCTTATTTGGTGGCAGCAAGGACTCACGGGATATGTATGACGTCATCAAGATGGCCGAATTCCATTGCACTTTATACTTGTGCAGGGTACGATACATGTATGTGGCGAAAACTACAGTAACCCCCATAGACTAACCTACATAACGACATATTCTAATTGATTAAAAGGAATACAGCACCTTCTAATACGTGTCTGTGTAAAATTGTATTGTTGCGTGTTGTTGCTAATACAGTATACGTACATGTACCTTCTAATTTTGTACGTGTATATGGTATTCTTTTGTGGCAGTAAAAACTGAATTTTTCCTTGTATTTTGCACTGTGTCTTACGTTTTCACTCCGTTAGTCATTGGGTGGGAAATTAAATTGGTCATGTGTTTCCAACATCTTTGTTCTATATTACGTGTTACATATGTATTATCATCTGTACTTCTTTTATATCGGTTTCCTTTCTGTTGATTCAACCTCTTATTATATGTAAATGTATGTTAAAAGATGTCTACTTGGGTGTGCTACCACTACCACTGGGTTGTACTATTTACCAACTCATATGATCCTTGCGCTAGCGAAGTGTATTGGACCATGAAGGGTAGACATCCAAGCAATAAGATACGCCAAAAAGTTACTCAAGTACCTGGATATGATTTTGGAAACAGTCAGGCGTTTCAGTGTCACTGACGAAAGGTAGTGGATGCTAACTGAAACATCTGGCCGTTTCCAAAATCATATCCAGTTGTGTGCGTAACTGTTTTTGGCGTATCATATGGCGATTTTAGTTTTCATCCTAAGTGATGCAACTGTTCTGTTCTATTTGCAGATTCTGCGTCAACACAGCATGGCGACTCAGGAGCAGTCTGGTGATAAAATTGAGGCTTACGCATCGTGAAGACAACAGGCATCACCGGCAAAAGTCACAAAATTTCATTTTGAGCATACATTAAGGATGGTTTACCGGTATGGTCCCATGCTTTACTGGAGTGAAGAAACAAAATCTTTACCCATACTTTAAGATCTGCTTAAAGATCAAATATCAAATTCCATGCAATGAGTACAAGCACAATAGACAGGATTCCTCATTTAGCTTCCACGTGACTTCAACATCCAATAGGGTCAGACTGCGGATGAATACACACCCTCCTCATGTGACTATGGCGTCATTGGAAAAAAGTAGTCCCTGCGATATTAGGACAGGTGGTAGAATACTTAATCTAGTACTTTGTTAAAGAGGCTTTATTTCGTGAGATACTATATGTAACGTTATACGTGTGAACAAACCGTAGATATATCTTAAGACTTTGTACAGCTATTGGCTGCAAAGTACGTCTAATTCTACCTTTTTAAAATCTATTTGTAGCATTCATGCAAATAAGAGTCCCAAAGCCTGAATAACTAACCCTAAAATAAATTGTAACATTTCAAAACACTAACTGTACAAGTTCTTCAAATTTATTATATGGCCTTTAAGCAACAAATCACCTAGTTGATAGTCGAACACCAGCGTATTTCCACAAACGTATAATACTACAGAGCAGTGTTACGTTCTATGTTCAAGCATATATAGATATGGCTAATATACCGTCATGTTTAAAGTAAAATTTTCTAACAAAGAAACTAATTGCATAAAGAACTTCTCAAGATGGTCCAGAAAACCATAATTTGAACTATAATAAACTATGAATACGATATTTGCTAGCAAATACGCCAATATACGTCTGTAAAAATATTGCCTACTTAGACACTTGTTATAAAATATCTTACAAAATGTAGCTGACTTTAAGTTACGCTTTTTAAAAGCATTAATAAAGCTATAACTACAATATTTGCTAACAAGTGCATAATTTGTCAAACCCTTGTCCAGCCAGTAAAATCATTGCCTACTTAAACATTCAAAATATGAAGATTTTACATAATACATGCTTTGTAACATATTCATAAAGCTTTATATATTCTATATTTGCCGCCAACAAATGCACGATATGCCACCCCTCCTCCATTTATACATACGGAATGTGAAAACATAACCCCAAGTTTACGGAGGTAATAACATGCATGATTTTATCATTCTTGTTATGTTTACCGAAGGAAAAAACCTATAGGTCAATGACCTGAACCAAACGACTGTCCCCATGGTAACAGGTGTTGGGTTACATCATGTTGCAATTTTAAAGCAGGAGGGATTTAGTCTCCTGTCACCATATATATGAATGTTTGAGTAAGAATTAACAGAGCAGATCATATGCGAAGGTAAAATTATGCATTTGCTTTGCAAATGTTACCGTTCTAGTTATAAGTAACTTCTTTAATACGTAGAATAACTTCTTTAAGAAGGGATCTCCGGTTGAGACGGAATCTGCTCGGTCTGGAAGACGCGTGTTGACGCTGGGAAGTTGCCAGTCGCTCCGTTGGTGGGTCCCAGAGTCGGCTCCACTCCACATTTCAGGAGCAACTACATGGCGAAGGTTAACAACACATAAATAAAGTTAATGATCCCCACATGAAAATAACATAATGCTGCATGTATGAACTATTCCTATTCCTATGTAACAACAAGGTAGAAAGGTGGTCTTGGGGTCAGTGGAGAGTTTATAGGCGCTAGGCGCTACCAACTGACCCGGCCGATTTTAGCCGAATCGTTAGAGCATCGGGGTCTAAACTGCTGCCCAGGTTTGGCGTGGGTTCGATCCCCGGCCCGTCTTTCTGTTTCTACTCTCCTAATTCGTACAGAGAAAAGACCACATCTGACCTGTTCGCAGAACTCCCTGAGCGCGCCCTGGCCACCCCTGTACGTGGAGACGACGTGAGAGTGTTTCTGTACCTCCGTGTCGGCGTCAGACGGGCAGCCCGACATTCCCGCCTTCTTAATACACGTGATGTCATCGATACCACAGCCTGTAGACAGGAACAAACATGTGTAAAACTTAGTAAAATGTTTAACTTTATTCCAAGGGGGTCTGCATGCCCTTTTTTGTAAGGCGTAATCAGGCCTTACAGGCGCAGTGTACGTGTGAATCAGGCTTTTAGTCTTATTAATCCGTATGCAGCCTCCCAAAAAATCAACGTAATTCGTAATAGGACATTAGCCGCAAAGCGTAAAGTCGTAATCAGCTCTGAGATTTTAACGTAATTCAAATTCAGATGAATAACAGTTCAGCCTTGCTTCAAAAAGATTTCTGCCAACACAGATAAAGTTTAAAGAGAATTTACCCATGAATCCGATGTTCTGCCAATCAATGTTGAGCTCCTGGCGCCAGCTGTCAATCACTTCCAGCTTATCCTGTAACCATGGAAACCGTCCGATTTGAAATATTGTCTTATCCGCCACGTTTTTGTATCTGTACACTTAGTATAACCGCCCCTCGGCGTAACACACCAGCTTCGCAGGCACGCGGCGCGGTGACAGCTGGTTATATTGCACCGAACGACTTGTTACATCTAACCCTTGAACTTCTAACTCTAAACATTGTTTAAAGCTATCTCTGCGATAGCTCTGATACTTGAAGGCATTAATATTTCTTGTTCTTTTTTGAGCTGGTCTTAGGTACTTAGTACTTGGTACGTCCACCAGTAAAATGTTGCAATTTCTTCAACAAGATAAGAAGGTAGTAGACACTTAAGCTTACGGTGCAGTTTTCTTCCAACTTGAGGGACAGTTTCTTCGCCAGCTCCTTTTGCACTTGACTTTCACCCTGGGCCACCACACGGAACTGAAGCAAAAAATGTGCCAGGGTCATTGATCTATCAGCAAGCAATAAATTAAAGAACTCATCACACTTCTTGTTAACTTAAGAGTATCGGTGTCCGTCCCGGTGTGAGTCGATCAAATATAGTCTTGTACTTAAATTGGTGTGTTACGTCTTTTGGCGTTTATTTTTTACAAATTAAAATGAAAAAAAACATCCGCATCTTCTGGACTCCAATTACAAAATCAATTTTTATCATACCAAAAATCAAAGAAGGCCTACAAATTCTACCCTCCATAGCACGCCAAAAACTGGGGGTTTGGGGGGGTCTTCAGGGTCTTTGGGAGTTTTTATGAGCTATTTTCTGATTACATATAGACAACATAGCCAGCCTGGTTGAATTACCCCGTTTTTTAGAACTGGGCTAATCAGAAAACAGCCGAAGACCACCAAACCCCCAGTTCTATAAGCCTGCTACGGAGGCTATACAAATCCACCGTGATCATGAGTTACAGCTGTGAACACACAAGCATGACGAAAAACATTCCCCTCCCGCGGAACGATATCACCTTCCCCGGATGTAAAAAGAACGCACCTCTATCCCGTTCCTCTGTAACATGTGGATCCCTGCGATGTCCGTGGCCTTGAATGACCTGAACTCCTCTCCTGTGGAGGAAACTTGGACTTGACCGTCGAGAAGCGTCCCGTCAATGTTCACCACAACCAGCTTCATTTTCTGTGGACAAATCGTAGAGGAAAACCACCAGTTGTTTCGTGTTCAATACTTACTTATAGCACAAATGTAGTAGACTGGTTTATTAATAAATTCCACATGTTGAAAGTCTTGGCAGCCTTACGGCTGAATTGTAGACTTCTTACAACTTTCGAAACGTTCGGAAGTAATCTCCGCAATTTATCCAGCAGAGTTTGAATTGTCTTTGAATATTGTTTACCTGGATGTCTAATCTTCATTGACAAAGACAGTTAATCAGTTCATTAGTTTATTGGATTCTTACAACTACTAGTAAAGGTAATGAATAAACAGGAAAAATACAGTAATATCTTATTTAAACTATACAAACTAATTGATCTAGTAGGTTCAACTTCTTGAGGCAGTTGTAGACGTACGAACATATGGAGCTAATGATACATGGTTTGTCAAGTTTCATAAGGAATACGAATTTTACTGTTTCATCTAACATGACTAGTGCTGGCATTTGTAAGCCCCACCTTGGGTGCCCGCCCGTGGTAGCCGAACCGAAGAAGCCTCTGCTCCGCCAGTTGCCAGTCCTGGTCCGTGTCGATGTCGATACTGTACTCCGAGTCCATCACAAGGCACCCCATCCGTCCGCCCTGGGGTAGCAATCAATCAATCAGTCAACCAATCAATCAATCAGTCAGTCAGTCAGTTAGTCAGTCAGTTAGTCAGTCAATAAATCAACCAATCAGTCAGTCAATCATCAACTAACCCCATCCGTCCGCCTTGCAGTATCCATCAATCTATCAACTTTATTGCGAAACCATTCTAATGGATACCGTGGATAGCAAATTGGTAAACAACTATTTATAGTGAACAGGAACTACGTACTAAAATGATAATATGAAAATCAGAATACACAGGATGCATTCGTAATATACGTATATTACATTTATCTGAGATAACACAATCTCTTTTGCACATAGTGCTAGATATATAACATAGAAAGGATGCTCTCGACTGACAGGCCCGAAGGCCTATATGCCTGGGGGAAAATTCGTGAGAAAAACACGTACTAAAAGTACTCAGGAACTGGATAGATTTTCATGGATGAAGATCTTTCATCGGTGAAGATTTTCATTTTTACAAGCTTCATTTTATAAGCTTCATCTTTGAGGAAGATGGTATGTAAGTAAGTTTACCTGTAGAACCCCCTGTTGTTCCACATCACGAGTGAAGATGTAGAAGGCTCCGTTCTCTATCAGCTCTCCTGGCCACTGCTGCCGCATGGGGCGGTTATACAGGTCAAAGTTCAGGGGGAACGTCTGCATTCCTAGAGGCACAATGGAGAAAAATCCATCAACGACTACTTAAAGGCATCCAATGCAGTTTTAGGGCATGGAAACCCTAAACCAATATTCTAGTCATTTATCTACATATTCAGTTGAAGCACACTATCCCAATGTATATTGATCCTCGTCGAGCAAAAATTCCCACAATTCTGACATAAAATTGTTAAATTGGACGGGCCCTTGGCTGAATTTTAGGGTACCACCCAAAAAATACAGGACTCGTCTTGGGGCTTGTTTCTGTAGTTTTAAGTACCTGTTACTGTTGTTGTGCAATAAAGTTTGACTTTGCCTTTTATCTCACCATATTTGGGTGTAGACCAGCGAAGTTGATGACGTCTGTACACCGAGAAGACGGAATCCTTCCCGTCCTGGAGCATCATGCGCACGCCTTCCTGCACGTGGAACGGATGCACGCACGGACAGGTTGCCTAGGAGACAAAAAAAAAATAGAAAAGTAACATTTGCAAAGCAAATACATAATGTTTACCTTCGGATATGGTCTGCTCTGTTAATTCTTACTGAAACACATTCACATACATGTATATGGTGGCAGGAGTCTAAACGCCTACTATGAAATAGCAACATTATGTAACACAACATCAGTTACCATGGTGACAGACGTCAACAAATAAGGTCATTGGCCAGGTGAGAGGTCACTGTTTGGAGAAGAAGAGGAAGAGGAAGAAACTGAGCAAAAACAATATGTTTTCCTTCGGTAAACATAAATATCGTCTGCGTCAGTGGCAGAATACTACAACTCATCTTGAGACCTTTAAAACGTCTTTTGTTGATCTTTTTTCGTCAAAGTTTCCATCTTTTTGAGGGTATATAAGAAGAAGAAGAAGTTTTAGGTTTCCATAGTTAGAAACACATTTCTGGGGAATAGACACAACCGAAAAATTATGACCATTGTTGATCTTCAAATTTCTCCTAGTAGTACGTTTGACATTTTTGTAGCTAGATGATGATTGTCGGCACCTGAATGTGGACGATGATGTCGACTTCAGGGTGGTTTCTGACAAACTCGTCGATGGCCGTCCAGGAGTTGCACTTGTCGTGAGACACCTGCTGTCCGCGCATGTGCACCTGCGCACCGCACCTGCGCGCTGTGGCCGCGATGTCGTCATGGTCTGTGGACACCCACACGCTACATTAAAACATCGATAAATGTTAAAAATTTCGGTAGAACATTACGGAATTAAACTAGAAAGGCAACATTTGCAAAGTAAGTGCATTATGTTTACCTTAACATGGTCTAACCTAACAAACTACTGTATGTATTCTTACTCAAAGCCAAATACATTCATATGTATGGTGAGCAGCCCTTCCAACTCTGTTCTAGATTTTGCCCATTTTGCCCACAGAAAATCGAAGATGAATTTCATTTTATCATGGAATGCTCTAGATATGATGTCCTACGCGATAATCTATTCAAATATCTCACTTCAAATACGACAGATTTCAATAGACTTGTTGCTACAGATAGATTTGATTATATATTTAAATGCAACAGCGAACACAATGCAAAAATAGGTAAATACATAAAAGACTGTTTTGTTATCAGAAAGAATACTGATTTGCTGTCACATGTACCCATAGATAACTCCGCCTGATTGTAAAGCCTAAGCTAACTTTTGATTATCTCTTTTCTATATATAAGTTGTTAAGTTTTATTCTATACCTATCTATTTTACTATGCTACTTATTGTTACCTACTAGTATTTGCCATACAATGTACCCTGTACAATTGTCGTGCAATAAAGTTCTTCTTCTTCTTCTTCATAATGTAACCCTACACCACAGGATGTTGCTACAACACCAGTTACCATGGTGATAGACGTCTGGTCCAGGTCATTGACTTAAGTTGGTTGTTTAGAACGGAAGAAGAAGCGAGCAAAAAAAAAAAAAACATGTTTCCATCTGCAATGTAAAGGGCCGTGACCACAAATTGAACACGCGTCCGGTTCGAATGACGTCACATCGAATGTGATTCGGGTTCAAAAAGAGTCCGGGAAGTTGACCAAGCGTGTGGTATCTGAAGAGTCAGGGGGTAGAATTCAGCTCGTTTTTGTACTTACGATTACTGGTTTAAGACGAGAACACCTATGTACACAAACAAACAAGCCCCAAACGACCACTTTTGAGAAAAAATAACTTTTTTTTTCAAACCTGTCCATGACGTCAGAGTCCAGCGCTGCCCTGATTCCCCAGCCGATCAGTTCAAGGTCACCCAACATCTTTATGTTCTTCATGGGGATACCCTTACTGCCACCTCTCGCCAACATCAGCACGGCAACGTGGGGATCCTGAACGGTTCATTTAGTTAATAGTTTATTTGAATTCACCACAAGAAACACAAGAGGAAGGGAGGACAAAACACCTTTGCAAGTTCACTCTCAGTCACTACAATTCAATACAAAATTATAAATAATAACTTACATTATGTACAGTACATTATATACATTAGCTGGTGTGTTACGCCGAAGGGCGGTTATACCGGCTATACAGATACAGAAGCTGGTGTGTTACGCCGAAGGGCGGTTATACCGGCTATACAGATACAGAAGCTGGTGTGTTACGCCGAAGGGCGGTTATACCGGCTATACAGATACAAATACAGATGCGCTGAGACATGAAAATGTAATAATTAAAAACTGTACATGAAGCTAATTTGGCAAGGCAGTATCCATTAGCCAGAGGAGTTTGTACGGTCATCTATGGTAGCTAATGGACACTCCTCTGTCCAATGGACACTGACTTGCCACCATATGATCTGCTTACAGATTAATAGGAAAATGTCAGATATGCTTCAGGGAGCCACACCACTAATCACTACTGTCGTGTCTACACAACAGGGATGACCTCTAGGTCATATGGGGTCAGGGGTCATGCTACGTGCATGTTATTAAATGGTGTCACCCAAATACTCACTATGAAAGTGTAGCATCAATCAATCAATCAGTCAACTTTATTGCTCAGCAAATGTCACTGGTACAATGTATTTATTTTTTATTTATCGAAATTTTCAGAAAACTCTGGGAGGGGTCAGCAACAGGCAAAGAAGAAACAACAGGGGTAGATACATAAACTATACTAAAATAGAATTCTAACAGAGCTAGTCTATAGTGATACTAAAGCTAAACTATCGTGTTTTCTTGTTGTTAAGGAGAGTATCATCATTCTGTAATTCAGGAGATATGTCAGTACAATCAGCTAAAGCACAACAAACTTCTCGTCAATTCCACGCCTACCTCCTTGCCGAACCGCCGCCTCCATTCCGCCCTCAGCTCCGGTGTAGGGTTGAACCCCATCTTCTCATAACGCGAGTTCGGCACGCAGCTGTTCATATTCAGCCTCTGGGAAGTTTTAAAAACCAAAGAATTACTCATTGGATCTTATTATATATATAAACATGTACCAGCTGGCAGTAGAACAGAAATTACATAGTATCAATTTAACATAACCGGCTTGACAGGTTTACAACAAGACTGTCTGGGTCCAAAAAGTGGAACTAAGATTCTATGAGCCCTAAAATGTGTAACTTCTGTAGTTCTGCTACAACATAGAGCAAGAAAAAAATTCGTGGGAATGGCTCTTAGCTGTTGAAGGGGACATCAGCTTTATGATTATGTCCAACTTGAAATATGATTTTTAAAGTTGAAAAGGTTTTTTCTTTGCGACCGAAGACTGTTAGTACTACGTAACTACATTAGGCCATGTTGATTTGATTATATGGATGACATCCTCTGGGAACCCCAAAACTGATGCGCGCGTGCGAATAAAAAAAAAGTTTTGCAAAAAAAAAAAGTTGCTTTCACTATGAAATCTACGTGGTCATGAAGGTTGAACAAATGGCACAGAATATGTTATGGCGAATAATCTACTCTTCGAATTCATTTCTTTACATTTTTGTCTTTTTTCCTTTGATTTTGGCATTCTACGACATTGGTATCGTTTCTAAATGTTTTCCTTGCTACTTATGGTATATTTTTGCTCATTTAGCAACTGTTTTGCACGATTTACAGTATGGTTGAAAACTTTTTTTTTTTGGAAACGGCCGAAAATCCATGCGCGCGCGGATGTCATCCATATAATCAAATCAACATGGCCTTATGGGGGGGTGCGTCGGCTGCAGTTCACCTGACCTCCGCTAGAATTATGCGAAACATTTCATTCCCTCCTGCCTTCGAAATAGTCAATCCTAAGAATAATGGATAAAGAAACTTATAAGAGACTAAACAAATAAGTTCAATGCTTTCTATTGTTATATACCACAGAAGGTATTTACATGCACAATTGTATACGTGTTATATATGAAAGAGGACGTCAAAAGCAAGAAATGTTTTGTTTGTTCTCAAATATTTTGGGCCATACTTTGTTTATTGCATATTGAAATCAAACGTATTCGTTTATAGTATTTCTCCTGTGCACCCTATTATGGATTTTGAAGCGTCCAGGTTAGTCAGTTCTAAGTCCCTATAAATCAGCTGACCACGTAAACACCTTATAAGGCAAAAATACTGTGTTCTAGAACCTTAAAATCTCAAACGTCTAAGACGGACATACCTGTATCTCACATGACGTCCTTGCCTTCTTCCGTAAAGGGCCGTTATAAGACGACATCTTCCCTGGTCTGAGAAAACCGAGAAACGTCTGGTACAAAAAAGGTTACTGAGAATCCTTCAGATTTACGGAACAAGTTCGACAACTTTTTTCAAGGACAGAGGGACAGGGTTTGAACAGTCTATAATTTTTGGGAGGGAATACTGTTCTTTCGCGCTGTATACTAATTACTTAGTATTGTTCTACGACGTTCTAGTATACTTAAAAATACTGTAAAAGTATAGACAATAAGCCAGTGTTAAATTGTCATTCTCACTGTTTTTTTTAAAAGATTCTTGCTGAAAGTAACAGCATGGACCTCCCCTCAACTGCGGAGTATTTTGGTATGTCCCGAACAGCATTTGACCTTCGTTGAATCCATCCACACGTCACCGGTTTTTGTGTTCTCTTACACATCCCTGATAATAACATAAGTCACACAAATGACGTCATTGTCTCTATGACAACTGTCCATGCATTTAATGATAAAGTAACTACGAAGAAATGGTCTACCAACGACAAGTTTCCGAATTTTCACAATCTTATTTTTAGTAATGGTGGAATTGTTGTTGTCCACCGTATATGCTACGAATGTGTCCTTCATTCTTAAGCACTCTACCGCATATATAACCCCGTCTCGTATTAAAATTCAACATTATTACACGAAATTTGCAAGAATACAGTAGTGAGTTTTAGTCGTCCCAGATTGAGAGAGATTGTGTACATCCGTAACGTAACACAGACTATCTGGTAATTTTATCTTGGCAAGAGAAGGCTCGTCATCTCAAAAATGCGGTTGAACCGCGCGACGAAAACTGTCATTATCTGGTGCAGCCATGAATGAACACAGAATAAAGACTGTATACTAGACCACTTTGGCATTGCAAGACCTTTTCAATGTGGTTTACAAAAGTAAGGTTGCCTGTGTGCTTGAAAAAATTCAGACAGACAAATACTCCATTTTAAAGAAGCGTTCTTTATTGCAATAGGTATGCTATAACTTCTTATTGACATTTCATGGCATTACTCATCTTGATGTATGCAGCAAAGAGGTAGCATTTATCTATGAACAAGTATAGAAACAAGCAAAAAAGACATAATTCCAGGGCTGTACGTAATATATGCGTTTTAGGTTCCCAAATTGCTGTTACACTATTGTCAGTACTGACTAGCATTCTACATTTAAACTTGAGTTAGTACATACATTGTATTGTAGAAGTCACTTAACCTATTGCTTGCGGCATATAATATCTGCCTCTTGTTTACATATTCTTTGGTTCCTGCAATTCATTAGTAAGATTAGTCAGCTATCAAACTTTCGAACGACTTAACAATCTTTTTATGGTCTATTCATGATATTTCCTCAATATTATCATATTGTAAACATGAGTGACAAGCTTAGAGCTATAAGGGAGGAAGTCATTTTGTGCAGTGAATAAAGATTTAGCAGCATTTTTAACCATATTTCAATAACATTGGCTTCTTCCTCTTGATTAACATCTTGCTTAGCTAGATATGTGCCTACATCTAAGAGGGTCTGCATGGGGGGATCCCGGTAACGCTTTACCGTATAATTTAGGAGGGTCAGCAATGCTGACAGGCATGCAGACCCTCATCTAACCGCGAAAAGGCTCAAACTTTAGGGTATCGTCAGGAAAATCTTCTTCGGTATCATCGGCTTGTTCAGAACTCTCACCGGCGGGGAAAACTTCCTCGTTGACCAGATCACTGAATTCTCCAAGAAACTCGTCAAAGTCGTCATCTTCGGGTTCAGCTTCGGTGTCGTCGGCAATGTTCGGGTTGTCGTCGGTGTTTTCCGGGCGGTCGTCGGTGATTTCCGGGCTGTCGTCGGCTCCGTCAGAGTCGTCGGAAGGGAAAACTTCCTCGTTGACCAGATCTCTGAATTCTCCAAGAAACTCGTCAAAGTCGTCATCTTCGGGCTTGGCTTCGGTGGCGTCGGCAATGTTCGGGTTGTCGTCGGTGTTTTCCGGGATGTCTTCGGTGTTTTCCGGGCTGTCGTCGGCTCCGTCAGAGTCGTCGGAGGGGAAAACTTCCGCGTTGACCAGATCTCTGAATTCTCCAAGGAACTCGTCAAAGCCGTCATCTTCGGCTTCGTCTTCGGTGGCGTCGGCAATGTCCTGGTTGTCGTCGGTCTTTTCCGGGCCGTCTTTGGGATCCTTCGGGTTGTCTTCGGTGTTTTCCGGACCATCTTCGGTCTCCGGACACTCCTCCTCATATCCCTCCGCCTGATCGACCATTCCAACAACCACCTTGACCCACTGGCGGAATTTCTCGAGAACACCGCTGATGTCGTTGAAGTTTTCGGCGGCACGGATCTCTCTCCTTGCTAGGTGATGTATCGGGGGCAGCGGAATATCTTCGGGTTCAATACCAATGTCGGGAACCTGGCTCTCATCTGCCGTGCAGACGTGATGACCACGCGGAGCAAACCTAGAGAGGGAAAAATTAGGGCATATCGTTTTAATATTTAGGAATTGTGAAATTCAGCAAAACATTCTGTTTTACCCTCGAGTCTATGGGCGCCGCCATGGTGGTTTGTGACGTCACAGGTCGGCCATCTTGTTTCGTCATTTCTTACACCCTCTTGCTTCTATACTCCTCTATCCTATAAAGCTAGTAGCCAATAAATTACCACACAGTTCTACTTCTTTAACGCAATCACAGTGGCGTTTCGGCGTTTGCTGTCCGTTGTAAGATATTTTTTACCAAAATTGTTTATTGTAATTCCTTTATCATATTTAATAATTCTGCATGCCCTTACTCGTCTTGGGCGCAGTGTAGCCCGGTGTTGCAGGAGCAGTCTCCTGCCGACCCCATCAGCAGGGCCAGGAACCCGCCATGTCCGCACGGCTCCCCCTCCTGGAAAAACGGCCTGCACACCGGCGTGACGATATCTGAGACGAGAAACAAAAACATCAAGAACACAAACATGACATCCCGCCGTGAGAGATCTAATATCATAGCTGTCTATCTGCAGTGTACTGATGTGAAGAGGATGGAAGCCAGATTAAAAAGTATTTACAATGCAAGGGATTTTAGTTGACAATAAGATTTAAGAAAGTCGCATGTGTACTTTTTGTCGAGTCAATAAATCACATTTTTCAAGGTATGTTTAAAGAATTTGATGCAACGATTGAACTTACCAATGAACTCATCCCCCTCCATGTACCCACAGCAGAGGCCGTCCTGGCAGTCCGCAGCGACATGGCAGACACAGCCCTCCTGTCCCTGGACCGCACCTTCAGAGCAGAACCAAACAAACAGATCTAAGAACACCCTTAGATCGGTCTATTAGGCTAATAGACCTATCTTGATCGAACGCTTTGAACCCCCTGTTCTATGTCGAACACCTCCGTCGAACATCGACCCTAGCCTGTTCTATTTCGAACGCCTCCGTCGAACATGGAACCCCCTGTTCTATTTCGAACGCCTCCGTCGAACATCGAACCCCTTGTTCTATTTCGAACACCTCCATCGAGCATCGAACCCCCTGTTCTATTTCGAACACCTCCATCGACCATCGAACCCATTGTTCTATTTCGAATACCTCCGTCGAAACCAGAGAGCAGAATAGAATATGTCGGGGTGGATTTATTATCTAGTCGCTTCCCGAAGCCTGGTGGAGGCTATAAATAAATTTCCTATCTTTGGTTAACATTATCCTCTGCACATACAGAGCATTGTCAATTTACCTCTATTTTTGCTAATAATTGACCACCGTCGGCACTTTCCATGATAGCTATCTGCGATATACCATTCATTCATTCATTCATTCATTCATTCATTCATTCCCTCACCTTTCTTACACTTGCCCATGACACAGAGAGCGTCCCGGCGGCACATGTCGTCCTGGAAGCAGGGATGCCCCTCTCCGTACGGCACCCCGCACACCCTGTCAAACACCGGGCCGAAACACACCATGTCTCCGTCACAGTCGTCATCGTGCACGCAGTTCTGCAGCAAACAATGATAGTTATGGTCAGATCTATTTATATCGAGGTAAGACACACACGCACAATACACTGACACACACACGCATGCGCGCGCGCGCACACACACACACACACACACATACATGAACGCATGCACACACACACACACACATATACACACACACACACAAACATACACGCACACACACACGCATGCACACACACAGACACATGCACAGACACACACACACACAAGTACACAAAATTCTGTATCTGCAGCAGCGCATATATCGATCGTATATTCTGATGAATAGCACCACATCCCGGTAAACAATGTTTTGTCATCAGTAATAGCGACAGTCTGGCTGCTAAAACGCACGTAGACCCTAACCACACACACCACTATAGTCTACAAACGTTGTCACATTTAACCATGAATTTGCCATTTTTCTTTCTTCTCGCTGTATGTAAGAAACAAAACCAAACTGTAAAAAAATCAGCACTAAATGCTTGATCCATAGCGTTAAATTTTAGGCATGATTTTTGCACAACACTGAAAGAGCAACCGAGTCAATTTTTAACTGTAGGTTTTGTGATCTAAATACTAAATAAATTTTCCAACAACGGCTTAGATTTCAGAGAAAAAAAACTCTTACCTTGTTGTCGAAAGGGCTGTCGGGCAAATCTTCCGGGTTAAAGCCTAGCTCGGCAAAGTCGGGCAACTCTAAATCTTCCAGGTCCAAGCCCAGGTCCCCACCTCCCTCCGCGCTTATGGTGTCTATCACGATAGACGCGCCTGTGTCCTTGTCTTCCAGCACTTCTTCATGAACTTTAGCCTTCTCGCCGTTCCCGAGGTCTTCCTCATAAGAGTTGCTGTCTACTTCTTGTAAGTTCCCCTGCTCTATCTCATTCTCCACGGCTTCAAGCATGCGTTCTTCTTCTTGCAGCATTCCATTCACAAGTCCGAACAGACCGTCGAAGCTTCTTTCCCTGCGCTTCAGAATTCCGGCGAAGGGGTTGGCTGGACGACTCTTGGCGACGGAGTTGCTGAGATCTTTCTTCGCGCGCTTCAGAATTCCGGCGAAGGGATTGGCTGGACGATTCTTGGTGACGGAGCTGCTGAGATCTTTCTTCACGCGTACGCGCTGCACGAGGTTTCCGAAGCGGTCATGGCTCCGGACCTCCCGATGGTGACGGAAGAACGCAGCCGAAGTCGACCCCAGCAGTTGTGCAAGCAGTACCACCGCCGCAAAAGCTACAACACACTTCATTGTCTTGGAATGATGTTCTCGTCTTCTCTGACCAGAAATGTCGACGAAATTGTAGTAAGAAATCGGTACCCTTCTTCAGAGAACGATCGGGTGGTTATGACTCACTGTTTACGGATCGTGGGCGTTTATATCCCGTATAGCCGGGACCAGCCACTAATACACACTTAAAAATACAACTACTTTATAATATACATGCATAAAGTATCAAGTATACACAACCCAGCATACCGACAATAATTAAACACTTTTATGATCAAAAGCCTTAAAGAATTCATGCGTATGCATCACTAGAATACTCGTGCTGTTGTGATAGCGTAGTTTAGTTTTAATTCTCCTGCTTTTGGATCTACTAGTGATCGGCCCCTTGAAAAGCTGACGTGTTTTATTCTTTCAATTATATCCGGGATGTCTGTGCATGTCCGTGTTTACAGACCCTGTATATAGCGCATGTATATATGTATATGTGTATACATGTATCGTGTTTATTAGGCTGGTCCAAAACATGCCATGAATTTACTTTACTTTGAATGTCCTTGAAAAGAACTTGGTCATTCGACAACATTTACCAAAGACGCTACGTTACATATTTTAATGTTCTTAGAGCATTCTATACAGTTCTGACGATTCCAATTATTCAGAACGTTACAATTATTACAGTAGATGTACAGCTGGTTGTGTGCCCCTTCTCAACGTGCAACACAAACATGTATGCCCATACATATAGCTTCGTCGTTTTGTATATTATTCGCTTTTCAAGAGGGATTATCTTATTGCGAAATTTACAATGCCTACCAATATAGCACCTCATCCATATGATACTGGTAATTAATTAGATACTAGGATACTAGGATGTTGAAATGATTATATGCTTAGGCATTTGTCCCTAGCACCAGTTTAATACCATTGTGACTTGATAAAACTACATACTGTGAAATATTGAGTCTCAATAACTGACTAACCACTCTCTTTAGTTGGAGATGAGATGAAAAACTACTTGCAAAACTTATCTCCAAATATAACTAAAAGTTACGGTATATATAATAAGCGATATAATATTGTAACGAAAGCTGTGCCGTTAATATATCGACATGGTTGGCCATTTGCCTTCTCGTTCTTCAACCCTATGCTTCCATGTTATTGACTTTTGTTGTTGTTCGTTGTTGTTCTTGTTGTCGTTGTTGTTGTTGTCGTTCTGTTTACCAGAGCATTGCGTCAGCATAGTTTCCCCGGTTTCTGTCCTCCTCTTGCCTGTCAGAGGATGGAATGACGACAGGTTGTTCAGAAAACGAGACGGTCTTCTTCCGCAAACTGTCCATCCGCTCAACAGATGCAGCCTTCCTCTGCAAATTCAGTCGGGTAAACCTGCTATCGTCAAAAACGTCGTCTGTTTCGGCGTTGTTGTTGTTTTCTCCGTTTTTTCCGGGACTTTCGGTATAAAAGAAGCCCGTCGCCATGGTTCGATCCTGGGTCTCGCCGCCACCTGTTGATTCTCGCGAGACTCTGCGAGACATTTCGACGTAGTCCCTTCCCAACCGTCCATGGCTTGCGTGTAATTCGGAGTCTTCTCGTCGTACGTTTGCAGAAGACATGTACGGCCCGGTAGAGCGGTCAACTGATTCTCTACGTGCACCGTGGTTACTCACATATTCCTCAAATATACTAGTACGCCCAGCGTTTAAATTATGGTTGTTATCACCATGCCGTATCCCTGTTGCACTCTGGACGTCTTCGACTGGTTCAAACTCTTCTTGCGGAACGTAGATCACCATTTCTTCCCTCAGAACTTCTGCGGTATGGAAGACGGGCTCTTCAGACGGACTTGTTTCTGACGGCGTGTCGTCGTTCAAGCTCTCAGAATAGTTCGAGTCCGTCTCAAATTCGTCCAGCGGGTAGTATATGATCAGCTCCTCTTTCACGATTTCGGCGTAGTGAAGCGGGAACGGATGTTCTTCGCCGGTTTCTGCTGCGAAATTTCTTTCAGGAAGCCGTGACGTCGTTGCGTATCGTTCTTCTTGTGTTTGTTCTTGGTTTAAGTTCAGTCTGTTGTCGGTCGCCTGGTCTTCGGCAACTGTTCGTCGTTGTTGCGCGAATGTTTGGTGACTGCCGCCGACCAGCAGAAGATTGTCGTATCGGTGAGACTCCTGCACGGCTTCCGTGTCCAAGTTCTGCCGATTTTGCTCTTCCACGTCCCGGTTAACTGGTACATTTCTTGCTCCTCCTCTTCCTCTTCTTGCATTCTCGTCATCACTGTAAGCTTGTGCCGCCGGCTCTCTGGTCGTGTCTGTAACGTAGCGATCTCTCAGTTGTCGTCGCGAAGTTTCTGTAGACGGTCTCACTTGCAGTGGGTCTTCGTCCACGCGGTCTGTCTCCCGATCTAGCACGATGCCTCGGTAGGAGCGGCGTCGGCCGCGCTCGTCGTCCCTTCGGCTATTCTCGTCGCTTGTTTCGTTGTTGAGGTACTCGGTGTAGATTGTAGACGGCCGACGGCTCGACGGCTTTCTCCGTTTTCGTCTGGGTGGAACTACCGGCGGGGGTGTCTCCCTCGCCCTTGTTTGTAGAATTGGAATGACGGGCCCGTAGCTCTCATTTTTCGACGGCTTTTCCCAGTAAAGTAGTTCGTCCTCTTCTGCAGTCTTGAGCGATGTACTCGGTACAATACGTGCGACACCGCTCTGACTATACGGTCTCTCTTTCTTTCTCTCTCTCCTTGTCTCAGGGGGATGGATGGTTACCCTGGTCCAGTCAGTTATGTCTTCGATTGGCCGTGGCTTCTTTTTGGAGCGGGTGGAAACTCGCTGGTAGCTTTTGATGCCGTCTATGGTACGCTCGCGGGGTTTTGCCCTGCCCCTGTGTTCGAGGAACCGACTGTGCCTTGTCTGCTTTGTTCTAGGAGGAGCAACTGGTAGCTTCGGAGATGCAGTACTGATTTGGGTACGCGTGGGGGCGCTGGAGTGAATGGTCTCTGACCGTTGCAGTTTTGTGTAGTGTTTAGTCGCTTTTGGAGACTGCTCCCGAGGTCTTGTTTGTTCCTGGTTTGCAGAAATAGTAACTTTCGAATTTCTTGGTTCAGATTGTGGAGGCTCCTCCCTGGGTCTTGTTGATACTTGATCGTAAACAACGATATTTGGGGGTGCAGTACCGATCTGGGTACGCGTGGGGGCGCTCGAATGGACGGTTTCTGACCGTTGCAATTTTGTGTAGTGCGTCGCCGCTTTTGGAGGCTGCTCCCTTGGTCTTGTTTCTTCTTGGTTTACCGACTGTTGGCTGCTGGGTCTTGCTTGTTCTTGGTTTACAGAAATAGTAACCTTCGACTTTCTTGGTTCTGATTGTGAACGCTTTTTGTCCTTTCGTGTTTTGGACTTCTTTTTTACTATGATAAATGTAGGAGAATGGTCATCATCTTGTGGTGTGGTCATCTGAACTGGACTTGGACTGCGCTTGTATTTTGGTGCCGGGCTTCGCTCAAGTTTCGGCGCTTCTTTGATGAACTGCATGCCACCTAGAATTCCTAAAGAACGAGGCAGTAGACATTGGAATCTTACATTGTTACAAAGATATCATTTCACACCACCGGTATCATATACTAGACTAAGTGTGAGTCCTGAAACATACATTGGAAATTACCTCAGTGAAAGTCGCTTGATTGAAATATGGGAAACTTGCTTCTAGTCCTGTTTTAGCATAAGGGTTACAAAAATAAACAGGATACGGTACCCAAGCTATATGTGCACACTATATGTTTCATACTTGGGTTGTAAAAAAGTAGCAGCATATATATCTTTAGCAAGTCATAGTTACGGAAATTATAGACGAGCTCGAGTACAAACCTGTTTCGGGTTGAACCGGTGGCGAATGGCTGTCTTCTGTCACAGGAGTTATCCTTTCTGCGTACATCAAGCACAGAGTATAAGCATTCATGTTAACATGTTATACTTCTAGTTGGCCTGTTGTTGTTGTTTACAATATGCTGGCTTTACTGTAAAATAGATCACCTAAGCTTCAAAATGCGATAAAAATGGCACAATTTCAGGTTGCGTTAGACGATTATGGGTGTCGATGTTTTTGCGTTGTAAGACGATTGCATTGAGATGTTTCGGGTGTTTAGACTACGTTTTATTAGTGAAAATTGAGTAAATGGTTTATCAACTCACCTGGTTTCAACGTCATTTTCTTCTTTTCGAGCACTCTTATCGGACTTCTACCCTCTATTTTGTCTGTAGAGAAATTAAAAGAAAACATTACAAACTTTCAAAAATATTCAAGGCAGTGCATAATAAAAAGTTGTCAAACTTTTATACCATGGGGGTTCTTCGTTTGTCCTTAAGCGACAAAATGCCCCCCTTACTAAAAATACTGGAATGCACTTTAATGGAGGATTTGCCTTCTGATTTGTCTGTTGAGAATCTAAACAAGTGCTTTAAAAACATTTAGGCATTTCGGCCTGATTTGTGTTTGTGAAAGGTTTTCTTCAGTTTAATAGTGAAGGAAAAAAATCCAATGAAATTTTAGTCACATTGTGAATACCACTGAAGGTTTCGATTGTTTTGATGGTAGTTAAACATGTCCGCTTCGCATCCTTGTGGATTTTGACCTTTTCTTTGTTCGCGGATTAGGGCGGGCCTCAGTTCACCCGAAGGCGGCTAGACAGGTATGTGACCTGGAGTAACCTCAAAACAGACAAGGCCTGGTGATTCTTTAATGGCCTCAACGTGATTTAGTCTGCTACTACCACTGTATTCTATGTATTCATAAAATCCCTGTAAATATTTAACTAAGGCATTAATTTAAGACTAAAAGAGGCTAAGATTTAAGGCTAAAATTCTAGTTATCATGATATGAATGAATAGTTCGTTGGTGTAAAACTTGGCAGCTTGGCGATTGAAATACATTCTACTTAAAATTGTGCATGTTAAAAATTTTATAAGTTATATGAAAAAAAATCTAGTTTTCTCGGAACATAACTATGCGAATAAATCAACATGTTAAGTTTGACGTGCCACGTATACTACTAGTTCTAAGGTCTAAACATTCTTTGATATATTTATCTACTAGTATTTGTACACAGTAGGCAAGGGTTATCTTCTTCTATGGTGTAATCTCTAGCATGTATTAAACTCCTATTGGGTAAGCGGAAAGAAAGTTGAATAGCTTCCATTGTTCATCATATTACTATAATTACTACCAACACAGATGAACTTTCGTGATAATAAAGGAATAGTTCTTACCGGCTACCCAGTCCAGACGACACCGCCTGAGCGCCCTGACCAGGTTAGGCACCGTGGCGCCCTTCCGTCCTGCCATGAGCCGCCACCACTCCAGACTCTTCCTGCACTGGTCCTGAACATCCCAGCTCTGTCTCTCGAACACCAGCACCTCGTCTAACGTCTGGCCAAGCTCCATGGCGAGGATCTTCCACGACGTTTTCACCTCGGATTCCACGATGCCAAATGCGCGGTCCAAATCTACAACAGAAAATATAGGCTACAACCATGTACCAGTAGTGCTATTCTGTCAATATCATGAGTCCCCCCTCTCTCTCGCTCTCTCACTCTCTCTCTCTCTCTGTCTCTGTCTGTCTCTCTCTCCCTCCCTTTCACTCTCTCTTGCATACTGTGTTACCGAGACATTGTCAAATGCAGGGCCTAAATCTGCCACAGAAAAATATCTTACAACTTACAATAGTAGTGCTATTCTTATGAGCAGTATACTATCTCTCATCTCTCTCTTTCCCTCTCTGCGCGTGTCTGTGTGTGTTGTGTGTGGCTTCAATTTAAGAGCAATTAATATCGATATTTAAGTAATTGAGGGGTAGGCAGCAGATGTAACACTGATATCACAGTATCTGCTATGACAAGCTTCAATTCATTCTACTTCTTGAAGAGGTTGTGTAAATATATATAGTTGTTGACTTTTCTGTACTGTGTCCTTGTCTCTGTCCTTGTTCCAACCTCACCTAACATTTTAGTGGTTAAGATGTCCAAATACCAGTACACTTATTAATCCCCAAGCAGATGTATCGGTGGCAAAGTTGTAACCAATCGCAAAACTGTACATGTACCCAACAGACAAGACAATATCCAATGGGTCTGTCAGAAAAGTTCTCAATCTTTTCAGTCAACCTCTGCTTGAAGAGTATACAATGAAGAGCTACCATATAGTATAAGATGAAAAGTAAACTGTTGGCTTTTTTTTACGCATTACAAAAATATGTTTACAAAAAAAGTACTTACCATCCTTGTTGGAATAAGTCCTCCCTCGGGACACTTGGCTCGGCATATTGAAGATTTTTTAAGGCCTGGAACCAATACTTGAGACAAAAAACAGCTGATTTTAACTATAAGCTGGTCTAAGGTCTACCGATGACACAGCTTTTGACAAAAAAGTACAATTATGTCTCAGAGAGTTGAAGACAAGGGCATGAGCCCACATTTTGTCACTGATAGCTAGCTAGCCAGACGCAACTATATACACGCCCATTTAAAAGGTCAGGCGACCCTAACTGGCATCGCACGATAATCTTCTGCACAGCCAAGACCCCATAGGTCGCTATGATATCGAACTGAGACATTGTGTCCAGTTTTACTTGAACTTGCTGATGTCTTTTACTCGCATCTCTTGTCAGATTATGGTCTTCCTATTATTTACAAAGAAATCGGTCAAATTCACCTTCTTTCGTGAGATTTTAGTTGATATATGACCACAGTAGGATAAGGTTTTATCAGGTATGGGGCCCTGAAAAAGTGGGTTGGGTTGTTCAGCAACTTTCCATTGTCTGCTCACATATTTCTTAAATGGCCTCGTGTCCTAACTTAAGCTTAGTGACCCTGTATTCCTCGGTTCACTGGTTATGAACAGACACAAACACGTTTACAAGCAACGTCACTCGTGTGGTAGCCTTGGTGTAGTTGTAGTGATATTAGGTTATTAGCTTAAGTCTCACTCTCTGCACTTCTTGAATAATGTTACAGGAACAAAAGACTGTAATACTTTGTTTTGTTTTGTTGCCTTAATTCTTGATTTGGAGGCTGCAATTCACTGCCTGTGACCTTACAGTAGCAACAAAAGAAGAAAATTTGCCTTTTATCTTTCTACACAGGTTAGAAGGCTTAATTCGGAATATTTTTCTCAAAAATATGTACAAATGCTAAAATGTCAATGCAATATCATTTATTCCCAACCAAACATTACAAAAGATTCAGTTGAGTTTCACTATTTTCTAACATGTCAGGAAAAATATTAACAGGTGGTCAATATTCTACATATTCCATGAAAAAATGTAAAATCCTATGAAGAATCTAAAACTCTTACTGTGCTTTAACTTGACTTGTACACAGGTACAGTCAAGATTACTATACAATGTGCTACTAAACAACCCTCTTCATAAAAATATTTTTCATGTAGAAAAACTACATTTCAATTCATTAGAAAATATAGTGTTTTCTCTTTTCCAGAAATAGTCTTCTGAACTTTAAACAATTGTACAAGCAGTCAGCTATCAAGAGTGTCTCTTTTGCATTGTTTTTAGGGCATACAAAGACGCATTTTTAAGGACACAACTGAGCACAAGAATGACTTCTTAGCCTCCATCAGGCCTCCTTATGGGGGTACAGATCAAGGAAAATAATCCACCAAGAGAGTCAGTCTGCAGGGGGGCTAATTTCCAAACAGTTGCAAGTAAATGAACTCTACAGTTGCCAAACTACCCTGTCCAGTTATTCTCGCTATTTGGATAAACATTACTGCTTTTGAACCTGTGTTGTTAGTTTGGTTAGATATCTAAATCACACAAATCAGCCTTAATGGCTGCAAAGTGATGGCATTGTGTACTGTATTGCTGTGCTGCTATAGTATTGTAACATGACGAAAACTAGACTCCACCAGGCCTTTCTACAGGAACACAGATTGTAGAATTCCGCAAAAATGAGTAAAATTGGCCAAAAGAGTCCGGCTGTGGGAAGGTTGTTTCTTTCCCGCGGCCAAGTCAAACCTACAAGGCGGCCAAACTCCCCCAGCAAATATTCTTCTACATATAGCCAGCGTAGTTTGTCTGGTTGGAACTAGACGAAAACATGATGATAATCTAGAGGACATAGACCTCTTATGGTGGAGCACTAGTCATGCCATGTTTCTTCTTGACATGTCTGTTCAGATGTACTTTCTGAATCGCTCTATAGTCACACAGATCGCAGGCATAAGGCCTGTCACCGGTATGGATCCGCATGTGCTTTACGAGCAGAGGTTTTCGCGTGGCCCTGTACCCACACGTCCCGCACATGTACGGTTTCTCTCCCATGTGTACCATCTTGTGGTACTTCATGGTTACCTTGTAAGCTGACGTATACTCACAGAGGTTACACGTGTATAACGGTCGTTTGAGACTTTTTGTTTTGTAACTTGTATGATTGTTTGTGTTGATACTAGTATTTGTAGCATTGTTTGTATCAACATTTGTAGCGATAGTTGTATCAAAGCCTGTAGCAATAGTTGTATCAACACTTGTTGTGTCAATACTTGTAGTATTGTTTGTATCAACACTTGTAGGAATATTTGTATCAAAATTTGTTGTAAGATTGTTTGTGTTGACACTTGTAAAACTGTTTGTATCAACATTTTCCTCAGTGTTGTTACTAGTACGTCTCTGAAGGCCACTTTTGGTGACACCAGTACTTGCCTTAGAACCACTTCTGAAAGTCTTGTTTGGCTTGCCTGCATCATGTCGTTTCTTGTGCCGTTCCAGGTTGAACTTGGTGGAGCACCGGACACCACAGACATCACATCGGTGGAAATTCTTTCCTACAGATGGATTCATTGAATCGTTTGTGCTGGAATTCAGTCTATCTTCTTGAGATAGTGTCCCTGTTGTAGGTGCCAATGCGAGGTCAGGATGTCTCCTCCTCTTGTGGCGGAGTAAGTTGGACTTTTGATTGGTTCGATACCCGCACGCCTCACATGTAAATATTTTCTTGATGAGCTTCAACTTCTTGGGTGATACATCTGTTGTGCATTTCTGTCTCTTGTCTTGTGATGGTGTTTTTGTTGTTGTTGTTCCTGCATGGACAGTATGTTGTCTCCTCTTGTGTCGGAGAAGGTTTCTCTTCACAGGTGTCTGGAACCCGCACTCCACACAAATAAAATCCTTTTCACTCCTGCTATCTGTGGCCTGAACATTGCTGTCCTGCATGTGCCGACTTTCCTCTTCTGATGAAACCGTCTGTTCTGTGGGTCTTTCCTCTTGATACAGTTGCTCTGTTGTTGTTGTTATTGTGGTTTGGCTAGACAGAACAACATCTACAGTCTGACCATTATTGCTCTCTTGGATGCGTAGACTTTCTTCTTCTGATGACACTGTCTGTTCTGGAGATCTTCCCTCTTGGAACACTTTTGTTGTTGTTGCTGTTTTGCCAGAATGTTTCCTCTTCTTGTGCCTTACAAGGTTGGACTTTTGTGAAGTCTGGTAGCCACAATCGTTGCAGGTGAAACGTTTTGTATGCTTCATAGTAGCCAAATCAGTGTCAAGAAACTGGACATTGGTTTCCCGAACTTCCATCATTTCCAGAGACGCCATCGTTTCTAGATCTGCCGCCTGCCCGAGCTTGTGCTTTTTTCTGTTCATGTGCCTGATCAGGTTGAACTTTGTGGAAGCTCTCGTTCCGCAGACCCCACACACGTAGCACTTCTTCCACCGCATCCCTGCCTCGTGGTTTACTGCAGGGTTTCCAACATTGCTGCTCTCTTGGCTGAGTTCTTTTTCCTTTGACGCTGTTGACAACGAAGTGTTCTGTGTTGTTGTTGCTTGGCTGTCTGACTGTGTTGTTGTCTGGCCGGTCTGTTTCTTTGTTTGCTTGTGTCTTGGCAACTTGAACTTGCTGTACATTTTAATACTGTGTTCCCTGCCTCTGAAACCCTTCCTATCTGCCCCGGCTAAATGACTCTGGACCTGGGCTTTTGCTTCTGAGATCACCCTCATTATCCTCTGGTGCTCGGACTCACTTGATACAACTTCCCAATCGGTTTCTCGCTCACTGGTGCCATTTTGGCTGACAGGTGTACATTCTTCTGTAGTTGTGGGCAGTTCTTTTTCCTCTGAAGTTACATTTTGCTGGTACACAGTCTGATGAAGCATTACGGGATAAACTTCAGATTCTCCTGTCAGGGTTTGGGCTTTTGCGAGTGATACACTTGAGACTGTGTCTTCTTGCTTTTCTCCGGCGTCCTTATCCGATTCAAGCGTACTGGACTGCTCTGGAGAGGATCTTGAGAATATTTCAGACAGTCCATGCAGGTACTTCTCTGGTGCGTCTACATCTATCACCTCTGGAACACAAACTACAGACTCGCTGTCATTGTTGTTCATCACATGTTCTGCAAAACTGACATTTAAATCAGAGATTTTGAATGCTGAGTTCTGGTTGTCATCAGTTGTTGAACATGTTGGTTGATCTGTTACTGTTGGTACATTGGAAGAAGACTGACTTTGCTGAAACTGTTCTGGGTTTTCATCAACTTTACTTGAGTCTGTTATATCAATAATTTCAGGACTTGGACACCTTTCCTCTTCCTCCCATTCCTTGTACTCTAGGACCATGACCTCCTTCAAGATGGCGACAAAACGTTCCCTGTTTTGTGCCTCGTTGTTGGTGTCGATGTTTCTTCTGCTGAGTTCAGTGAGCAGTTCCTCTGTGAAAAGTCTGGGGAGGACAGCTAGGGTCACCTCTTGGGACAGCCCGTGTATCTTGGGTTCTCCTGGTTTCCGCATTGTGCTGTGTAGAAGACAGGCAAATGCTAATGTTTAACTCAGTTAATCACCCAATTAAGCGAGGAACTAGACATAAGAGCTAGTACTAGTAGAAACGGGAAAATCCCTAACTCCCGGGAATCGAACCCGCGCCAAACCCAGTTTCCCAGAACAACTCACAGAGTCTAGAAACCTGGTTACAAATCTCTACGGGCTGGATAATGAAAACAAAGGTACCTACACACCCGATGGACCTCCTAAAAAAAGTTAGCTAATTGTTTCCATCTGGTGGAAGCGTCATAATTTTGCTGCGTCTTTGTCGACAGTTTAAATCATTCTCACAATCAATATAACTGTCTCTAACGTTAGACATATGCACTATTTACCTTATTCAACAGTTCTTCTTGAAAACAGCACCACCAGAGGGCTTTAAATCTTAGAATTCGCTCTGCAGAAACGTAAAATTACACCAGTCGGACCAGTAACGCTACTTCCGGCATGGGAACGAGATTGGGTCAGAGGTCAGGTAGTAAATTAATGACGTTGTTTCAGTCTAAAACCTACCTTTTTTCAATATTTCACAATTAATTAATGATATACATGTTCTTTGTAACAGGTACATATAGAACATAAACTTTGAACGTTCAAAAAGACGTGAATATTAAAGCACAAAAACACCCCTAAAATCTTAGTGGAACAGGTCCTTAGCCATGACTCTTGACCTCTCACCTTTTGCCTTTCCAAAAAACGCACGAGACATTTGGAACTGTTTATGTGTTTCTGAAGGTTTGTATTTACGTTGTTTCTTGTCGGACTACATTTCTGTTCATTCAGCGTAAATATGTCAGACATAAACATGTTTATTCGCAAGTATTTTCAACCAGGTTCAAAAATAACTGGCGTTCGCGTTCTCAGTACTAACTAAGAACGAGTGAAACTACAAGTTGGTTTAACGTCACAAGAATACAACAGAAACTGTGGATGGACCAATCCACGTTGACACGCGTCTGTAGTAAGAAAATACAAGCCAAAAAAAACGTTTTTCAGGCCATTTTATTTTAGCATTTCTAAAATAGAAAGATATACATGTACATGAAACAGTCATAACCAATTCAGTACATTTAATTCTTTTGACATTTGGAATAAAACCAATTCATTGGTACTAGTAAATTAACAGTACAAGATAGACAACTCATATATTACCAATGAGCATACATGTTTCTTCACTAATTTATATAGACTTCATACAAGTCATCTTTTCCCAGGTCAAACAATTTCATCAAAACGGAAGAAACGTGAATAAGACTGAATATACATTCCTCTGTCAATTGAACTCTATTCTTGAATTTTTTCTAGGTTGAGAATCCAATGGAAAATAGCTTAAATAAACAATAAATACAGTTTGCTTGGTGATGACTATGTATACAGGTACATTTTTGTATAACTGCTTTATTTCACATATTTTACAATAGTTCATAGATTTTCTATCACATCAACCTACAAGGTTTTATTGTGAAAATCAGTGCCTACGTGACGTGATACAAACTGCTCTATCAAAAACGATAAAGCTTACTTATAGTTTACAAAAAAAATTCTCTCTTCGACTTAAGGGCTCTCTTGTGCATTTGTTTGTTGTTGGTTTTCCATATTTGGCATGCTCTCCCCTGTTTGTAGCAAGTTCGCAGCCTCCGTGTTAACTGTGCGGCTATTGGTCAAGAAGTGTGCGGGCAGGGCCTGTCCTACGTCCTCATTGGTCACTGTCAGAGGGATGGTATGAGCCGTCTGATTGGTGCAAAACTGTCCCGATATTTTGTCCTGTATCAGGATCTGTGATTGGCCGAGCTCCTCGTCATAACCCTTTGCAGCCTCCATGTTGACAGAAGCTCCTGTTTCTGACTCCTTTCTGGACATTTCATCTTCACTCTGGAATGGAAAATTTAAAAAAGAATCAGTTTTTGTATTAATATTGCGATGGATGTTACTCTTTGAATATGGGACAGTCTATCACAATTAAATCTGCATACCTATTCATATCAGAAAGCATTATTGTGTCCTTAGCATGCTATGGTGGCCATTCAGCACTGAAAAACTAAAGTTTAAAAACATCTCTTTTGGAAGAGTGCTAAATATGTTAAAAAAGTATAATATTATATAAATGTACCCTAGTAATTTAAAATCTTTGAATTGTATCGATCTATAGCTGTAGAAAACCTTGTGAGAGTCTGTGTATAGTTTACCTGTGTTTGGAATATTTTGGGGTTGAGTGCTGACAGTAGCTGAGCTGTCTCGGGTGTGAGGGAATCACTAACGAGGGTTGTCCCGTCACTCATGGTGGTCTCTACTTGGGACACCACATGTTCTGCAACAGGAAGGGAAACAAGAAATGCTTTTAACACTAATAACAGGTAACATAAATGCAAATGCATAATGCAAAACCCAAAGAAACATTGATGGAAGAAACGTGAAAAGTGTGGGCCACAAAAAAACAAACAAAAAGATATTGAAAATCATCAAAAGCAACAAGGTCACACTACAGATGGATAGAAGAACTAGCTATACATTTGTATAACATAGCCAGGATTTCATTTTTAGCTGCAGTTTCCACAATGATCAACAGGGAGCAATGCAGCACAGCATTGCACCTGGCATACTTTGAAAAAGATCAGTTCAAAATTTAGTGACTACTGCTTTCATTTTGTGGGAAAAGTCCCTACCTCTCCCATGGTTAGTAGTCAGAGTAACAGTAACAGTTTGAGTGTGTGGTCCGTCCCCCTCCCCACACCCAGCAGGATGACACGCCGTCGGCCACAGCTGACTCTGTAGCTCATGTGCTGCATTTTCTAGACTGTTGTCTGGTGCCACCTAAAAAAAAAAGACACACAGATGAAGCTGTCTTGTACAGTGGACAATTCATCCATATATCAGCATTCTGTTCATTACTCAATAAATATACAGAAGATATAAAAAATGGAACGCCCACAGCAGTACCAAGGAAATCCTGGTTTTCAACATTTCAAATCCTGAGCTCCCTGCCAAAGTAGGATTTTTTACAGGTAATCATTGGATGTTTAGCCAACGTTGCATCACGATTTTGCCTTTAATTTTGCAGATGACATCTTTTCCAACGTTTAAAAACTAAAGATAGAATGCCTTCAACAAGGCATTGTACCAAAGTGCTAAGCACAATACATCACAGGTTTCGCACAAGCATTCTGCCGAAATGCTGATAACTCAGTTTATGTTACCTCAGTGGTGGTGACTGCAGTTACAGCCAGTTCCCCCCGCTCAATGTTACCTGCACTAACCTGCATAATTATGCAGCAAATGCAATATGAGCCCTGTTACACATTACAGGTTTCGCACAGGCGCAGTTCTGCTAACATGCTCATCATAACTCAGGTAACGTTACCTCAGCAGTGGTAACAGCGGTGACGGCGAGTTCGCCGCGCTCGATGGCCATCTGCGCCAGGTGCACGTGGTTCTGGATATCATTCACGGTTGGGAAGTACGACAGGTTGTGTCGCTCCGGGACAGAATCGCTCCCACCGAACAACTCCTTCTCCACAAACTTCCTGGGAAAGGACACAAGTCAAGACGGTCTTGTGGTTAAGGTTATAGACTACAAAATGTAAATCTGAAAGTTCTGGGTTCCAGTCCCAGGCCGACACCACTGCCACTTAAAAAGGTATCACTCATATGCTGGGACACAGTTTATTTCAGAGGCCGTAACTTTTGCACTGGGCAACCTACAACAAATGTAGCACCCCCAATAAGTCTCACACAGAAACCAGGACTTGTACTGCAAGAGCGGGTATTTAATACCATGACTTAGGATCTCCTTAGAGTTCCTTGACAAAACTGTAATTTGAATGTAAAATAGTTAGTGTGAAGACAGCCTTAACTTTAATGCCTTCCTGACATGGTTCCTAACTCATTTTTTCATTGACTCATGCATTAAGAATCCACCTTTATAGTGACACCCAATGAGAGGCTATTTTCGTGGTCACTAAAGACAAAAGTGATTGTAATTTGAGCGCAAATAATTGGTCCTCGGTTCGTCAGCCATTGTGCCCACCTGACAGCCTTCCTGACCTGGTACACCTCGCTCATGCCGGCTGCGACCAGTTCTCGGATCTTGGCGGAGACGCGGGGGTGCAGGCGCGAGGCGGCCTCCATGTTGCACACGGAGAAGTCAGCCAGAACGTGGTCCTGGACCTCGTCATGGAACTGGTGAGCCTCGGGAGTAGGCAGCTGCACGTACTGTCTGTGGAATATATTGCAACACACTTTAAAACAAGGCAATTAACACAACTGTCATTCACTTCACCCGGGTATAAAATGGATACCTAAGTTTGGTTGGGAAGGTAAAAGGCACTTTGAAAACCGCATTATCATAATATATTACGATATTATGTCATAGAAGAAATTGAACTACTTCCCAACACAAAGAATTGGGATTCCATAAGGCAACAGGCAAACTGAAGGCAGGAAAATGACTGTACCCTTCCTCTCAGCCCATAGGAGACCATGTAGACTTAAAATTATTGCCTAGTTTTTCTTGCACATGTACAGCTGTACATGTGTGACTCAGCAGCTAAAATGGTAACTAGGTAATCCAACTTGATCTTCCTGTCATTCTACGGTTTCAAAATCTTCTTCCCACCTCTCCTCCCCTCCGTGTTCCAGTCCAGACTCCTTGAGTGAGCGGAAGGCTCTCTCCTGCGCCTGTCTCAGCGCCTTACGGTCCATGTCCTGGCTCAGGTGAACTCTGAACTGCGGGAACTTCCTCACTTTCTTGATGTATATTCTGGGGAAAAGAGTTGTAAAACAGACTATAATTAAGATGTAGGATATACAGTTAGTAGAATATTCTTCAATCAGTGACAGTTTTTGAAAGGTAGAAACACGTACCTCGAAACATAAAAAAATTGGAGGTACGTGTTTCTACCTTTGAAAAACTGTCACTGATTAAAGAATATTCTACTAACTGTTAATTTTACGTGACTGATGAACCTCTTCAACAATAGGATATACAGGCTAGTCCACTAATAGTGGTGACGCTGTCTTCAACTACACATGTACCATACTTTCAACTGCCATACCCTGTCTCATGTTACCCAGTATTTATTACTGAGTGCTTAAAAGCAGAAAATGCAGTATGAATATCATTTTTAAAGTTTCTGTACGGACTTCAAACGCACCATGCAAAGAAAGCACTCTTTGTAACTCACTATACCAGACTGTGGCCCCACCAATAATTGTACACATGAGAACATATCCAAACCTAGCGGGACACGTCGCTTTGAAACCCTGTTTCCCACTCCTCTCCTGTTCTGCTATCTTCTTGGCCACGATGCCCTTTCTTCTTGGTCCAAATTGGCACTCCTGGACGATAGCCCTGCTGCCTACAACAAGGTAAGAACAACTAATCAATCATCTCATTTCACTTGATGTTTGGAATCGATTTCTACTTAAAGTGAATAACCTCCACTCCTTAGGAACTCTGGAAATCAATCTTAGGCTGATATAAAAGTACCTGACAGGTGATGTTCTGAATCTTAATGAGAGTCTTCCTTCTCTTCTTTCCAAATTTTGGATTCTCTTCAGGCCACTTGAAGTGTAATGCTCGAGATGAAGCATAAGTCTGTTTCAATAGTGCAATTTAGCTTTGCTGAGGATGTTTCTAGGTTTACTCAGGTAGTGAGAATTTGAAAGACTTCTTTGTTGGATTGCCAAGAAATTTCCCTTTGTCTAAATTAGATTTGTATTAAATTAGATTTGGAAACTGTATCTGTATAGCCGGTGTAACCGCCTTTTGGCATAATACACCAGCTTCGCAGGCACACAGTACGGCGGCAGCTGGCTACATCACACCGAACGACTTGTTACACCTAATCCTTGGACACCAAACTCTAGACATTGTTTAAAGCTATCTAATGACAATGCCCCTACTGTACTTGGTGACAGCGAGTTCCATTCTGCGATAATTCTAGGAAAGAATGAATTCTTGAATGCCTCAATCCTTGGTTGATAACTCTGGTACTTGAAGACATGTTCTCTTCTGGGCTGGTACAAATGTATTGGGTACTTAGTGGTATTAGGTTAGGTACAAACAATGATCTTACCGATGTTGACAAATGGAATCCCGTCAAACGGCACATACTGAGATTTCCACATGAGCCTGGTGGAGGGTTTGCCTGGTGTAGGAGACTGGTGGGTTCCCCAGAAATTTCCCTTTTTCTAAATTTAGATTTGTATCTAATTACATTCGTATTAAGTAAACCATGATCTTACCAATGTTGACAAATGGAATCCCGTCAAACGGCACATACTGAGATTTCCACATGAGCCTGGTGGAGGGTTTGCCTGGTGTAGGAGACTGGTGGGTTGCCAGAAATTTCCTTAAAATTTATTAATGGAGTTTTCTAACAAACAATGATCTTACCGATGTTGACAAAAGGAATCCCGTCAAACGGCACATACTGAGATTTCCACATGAGTCTAGTGGAGGGTTTGCCTGGTGTAGGAGACTGGCGGGTTCCCCAGAAGCTCTGAGTCTGCTGTTTGTGGTACGTCAGGAGCAGGTCCAGTTCTACATCGTTCTCCACCCAGCCACGGAACGAGTCACCGATTTTCTGTACCAGGGTAGAGACAGAAAAAAAGGAGTTATTAAAGGATATAAAAGAACACGATGGCAACTTAGGACATGGGCTGTTTCAATGTGGTCCTTGATAGGAGTTGGTCAGTGGATACAGTTGTATGGATGGGCAGGGGTGACTGTATATAAAACTCAATACTATTTTAGCGAAAGGAGCCTCTAATTTTGTTATCTAAGAGTGCAATGTATACAAAAGCCATAGACTAGAGCCTCTGATTTTGATATTAAAGTATTAAGACCATACTACTAAAAGAAAACAATCTCCAATTTTCTGCATCAAGGTACATGTAAGTAACGATTGAAAAATGAGTGAAAAATTCAAGTCATTCGTATACAGTACTATACACTGCAGTAAAAGCCATATACTTAAATTAAAGCAAAAGGAGTTTTCCAATTTTCTGTATCACAGGGCCATGCGATGCTTCTATAAAAAATACTGATTTGCTGTCACATGTACCCATAAATAACTCCGCCTGACTGTAAAGCCTAAGCTTAAACTTTTGATTATTTCTTTTCTAATAAGTATATATAAGTTGTTAAGTTTTATTCTATACCTATCTATTTTACTATGCTACTTATTGTTACCTATTTGCCATACAATGTACCCTGTACAATTGTCGTGCAATAAAGTTCTTCTATGAAAAATCCTACCTCCACACCCCTCAGCCTTGCAGCCCAGGGGGGGCACCCGTCGGGTAGGGTCTGCTGGGGGGGTGGGGACACCAGGGTGATAGTCGCTACATCGTCTGACGCCAGTTTCTCCAGGCTAACCGTGGCCATGCCTTCACCCGGCAGCCTCTCTAACGTAGCCGTGGCCTGGGTCAGATCATGGATGATCTCTACTGACTGTGTGGGATCCTGGGGATCTGTGGAAGATTACACAAACATGTATGTTAGTTAGTGTAAGTTTGTAAGGCCAGTTTCTCCAGGCTAACCGTGGCCATGCCTTCACCCGGCAGCCTCTCTATTGTAGCCGTGGCCTGGGTCAGATCATGGATGATCTCTACTGACTGTGTGGGATCCTGGGATCTAAAAGATCACAGAAACATGTATCAAACTCCAAGCCGATGTTAGGGAGGAAGATTCTATCAGAAATGGGTAGCTTGCGCGAATTTGAAAGAAATGATTTTGCTTCCCAACATCTGCTTGGAAATTAAACTTCTAGGTTGACTGTTTATGTGTACAAGCTAAATCTTGGAGAAAACAAATGTTTAAATCTTGTCTTTTTTGTCTGGTAGCCATAGGAATTTCAAGCTATTTTTTTTAAATGGTCTATTATCAGATTATCAAATTATAATGGATGAAGGAAGCTGATGCTGGTAGTGTCCTTGGCCCTTGACCTTCAAGATGACCTTCAAGATGGGTCAAGTTGAAGGTGAATGTTCTACCAGGAGGTCTAACCTTCATCATCACCAAAAATATAGTAAAACTTGGTTCTCCCTTAATTTTTTTTGTTCCATTTGTGCATACCTGTGTGTTCGTGGGTGTTTTCTTGGGAGTCGGCTGATTGGCTCACGGTGATCATGTGAGGGGCCTGGGCCTGGCCGACAGCTGATTGGCTCACAGGGATCACATGATACAGCTGACCCTGTGACCCGTCCCCTCCATTCAGTGCAATCATCTGAAATACAAAAACTGGTGTTAATCTCTTCAAAGCCAATAGATATTGGCTCAAAAGAAATCATGCAGGTGGACATGAGTACCTAGCTTTGGTTAGGGACGTCCCTCGGATAGGACGTTACATGGAGGTCCCCTGTTTGGGGAGAGCCACACCCCACGCACGTTAAAGAACCCACCGCACTTATCGAAAAGAGTAGGGGACCTTCCCGGTGTGAGTGGTTCAAACCTTACAGTCTGGTCTTACGCAGCTTGTGCATGTACAAAACTGGTGTGTTACACCTAAAGGCGGTTTACCAGTTATGCGAAACAAACAAAATGCAACAGCTTGACTGAATGAGTCTGAAGTTATCTTCCACTATCTTTTGTCAGACACGAGACACAATTCTGATTAATGACTGAGCATCATTCTTCCTCCAATGAAAGATAGCACCTGCTATCTGAAACATTGGACTCTATCCAGTTGCTTAATGATTAATATCTTGTATTACATCAATGAGGGCAGTTTGCCAGAAAAATGGAAACTTTTTTTAGCCATTCTCACAGAAGAAACTGGTACATGTACATGTGTAAACTTTCAATGGGAAAACTGTGTTAACTTTTGTGTTTAAAAGTTTAAATTTAACTTTAGATCCAACACAAAGAAGTTCTCTCACCTAGATCTTTCGACCAGTCACTCTGGTCTTCTTCAGTAGACTGACCCAGACTAGAGTGACTGGTCGAAAGCTCTAGGCGGGAGAACTTCTTTGTGTTGGATCTAAAGTTTTAAATCCAGTAAAGGAAACACGTAACTACCAACACAGATGAAAGCTTTACAGAACTCTAGTTGTGCATACAAGTTTAATCCTTCCTTGTACTATATATAACCCAGATGAACTTTCATGATAGTATAAACTTTTGATTGGGGAAAAGATTTTCTACAGACCTGAGCGACTGCCCCGCTGACAGTCATCTGCCCCATACTGCCCTCTGTGCTGACAGGAATGATCTGCACGACCTCCATGGGCTGGCCGGGGGCAGCCTGAGTCACAGCTACAGGTCGGTCTGTATCATCCTGTATACACACAAAAATAACACACAGTCAGTCTATCATCACTAATCATCAACTTTGGACAACAAGTTACAGAAAACATATACTAAGCTGACATTGATTTATAATTACTAGTAATAATTATGTTTACTTTCACTGAAGCAAGACATGTGGTTTTTGCTTTGTTTCTTCTTCTTCTCCAATCAAAAAAGATCAATGACCAACCCACAGGACAGAGACAAGTGGCAGGCTGCCATCAAGCCGCAGTATTGCTGTGCAAGTATGTCTAACGCTCGGAAGACGGGGAACAACAGACGATAAACCGGATAGTGAGTGTCAATGAATAATTGTCACTGTTCAGTAACCGTTTTTTACCACCTGCTGGTATATTGCTGTGCCTGTAGTGCCAGTGTCGTCTGTCGATCCTGAGCTGACGATTTCTGTGACTCCGGTGATGGCGTGATGGACCACCTGCATCTGGTCATCTTCTGCAGACATCTTGACTCCAGTTAAATTTTACTTCTGTAATGACAGAAAGTTAACAGTTTTATATTAGACATTTGGAATATGTTTACCGAAGGCAAACACATTGTTTTTGCTACGTTTCCTCTTCCTCTTCCTTTCCAAACACTGACCTCTGACCTGGCCAATGACCTGCATGGTTTGTTGGTGTTAGGTTACATCATGACAGTCATGTTGCAGTTTTATAGCAGGAGGGATTTATACTCCTGACCATATATATATGAGTCAGAATTAGCAGGTAAAATTTGCCTGGTGCAAGCACAATTGTAATTTTCAGCGTTACTGATACAGGTATGCAGAAAAAAAAGTATTTTGAGCCCCGTATAACTCAAGATTTGTGCATAGCTGCAATAATCGCAGTACACTTGCCACAATTCATCTTTGTCCCACCTGCTGCTTTTGATGAATTGATCATCCGGAAAGACTTTGGCAGCAATTTTCATCTAGCCCAGGGATAAGTATCGCAGCCACATTACGCCACAATTCATAACCACTTCTGACTTAACACCTAATCACTCGTCCATAAATCAAACAAAAGTTTGCTGCCAAAAGATGCTTATCTTTTAAGGCCCGGCGGCCAATTTGATTCCAGGGGATCTCAGATTTTTAAAGGAAATTTATGGAGTAGTCTGGGAAAATGAATCTGGGATCTTGTGATAGGAGCCAGATACTATCATAGGACTATTAGGAGCTATTAAGTTAAGATGCAAACTGGTTATCATTTCAAACAATAGATTTTGAAATTGTTACATATCTTTTTAGAACTTTTACATGTGGATTATTATACAATGTATGCCTTGATAGATTAAAAAACTGCAACTTGGAATAATCAAAGACAAAGGACTTTTTTCTGCAACACACAATTGCAAGTATAATTTTTTTTGTCATTTTATATCCAGAATGGTGCAAGTACAATATATAGAGCTATAAAGCTTATAACAGGTTCTGACAGTGACATTAGACTATTACTATTTAGTACATGTATATTTACTAATAGTTTCTTATGGCATTCATAATAAGTGTAGGTCTGTATAATACCTTTCCTTTGATTTTGAAATTAAAGTGACTTACATGTATATTACAGATCCCAAAGGGAACCAATTTTAAAAGGGTTCCAAAACACATTAAGATAGGAACACTCAATGTGCACTTAATACTAATAGATGCAGTTTTTCACTTCAAGATGCATGTCAACTTTATGAAGCCCTGTTTAAGATCATTCACATTCGTATGTGCATAAGCTTAATGATGCCATTAGTATCACCAGGGTGAGGGATTGAAGACTACGAGAATCTCCACCTGCAATTTGTTGAAATTGCCTTCCGGGATTCATGCCAGGATTATACTGTAACAATGCTCTAATTTGGTGGTACCAAAAATTACAGTAATTTTGTGTGCCTTCAGCGGAATTCTTATGGACAACATGAGCTGTAAGTACAGTGTAATTCCTTTTAAGAGTTAACTGGGAGTGGGAGTTCATAATTTCTCGAAAGGAAATCACTGGCGTAATAGCAATGAAATCATCTGTAATTTATTTTAAAGTATCGAGGTAGAGCATGTTTGTTTAAAAGCCATACCAATTTAATCAACAGTTGGTTCTCTACATTTTGTACATGTATCCGAATATATTATCAGCCCTTATGATTTAAAATAAATGTATTAAACCTACAAAATTGTGCCTTTTTAACCCTCCAAACTTTACCTGCAATTCTAAGTTCTAAAACATGTCCTATGATTTAGTTGCGTAACAACAATCTCACTGAGTGTGAGATATTTTCCCTTGAGAGGGGTTTTCACTCAAAGGTTGGTGTGTTCATCCTTGGCTTTCACCGTGATGCTTTTAAAACACCCTCAGGAAAACCACTGTGTAGTACATTAGGAAACCAGCGGAATTATTGTGTTTGATGTTGATTGAGTACGGAATCCTACACGGAATTCTTTGCTCAAGGATAATTCCTAGAATTCTTGGCCCCAGGATGATTCCTCTGAACTGAGATGATCTTCAGGGAAGGGGTGTGTCATGCATATGGGTGCTGTATTACTGTACTTTGTCACTTTACTGTCAGCGTCAGTCTGACTCAGTCAGTCTAGCAAAGGGAAGGACCTGTACCCAACTTGAAGTTCGAAGTTCTTTCCTCAGGAATGCTTTAAATATACTGCTTTATCACTTTATTGCTTGAAAAATACCTTAAGGACACGACTACAAAGACCTTCGGTAGCTCAATCAGTCAATGTTCAGACATCCGTGAAGCAAGTAAAGAGGTAAAAAGTCTCGAGGGTTTCATAACTCTTCGTGTGCGTCATCCACTGATGTAATTCTGAAGCCAGGTAATTTTTCTAGATCAATTGATGCCAAGGACAATTTTACACAAGAGATTGTCCCCACTCTTAAAGAAAACTTAAGCTTGGAGTCATAATCCAATATGATCCATCTCTAGCATCTTAAGTTCAACTCAGAGGGAACTACTCTCATCTGCCGAATAAACGTACCCCCCGTTTTTCACACGAAGTTGAAAAAAATTACTGGTTTTCAAAAAATTAATAAACGTACTGTGCAAAATAAGAACGTACTGGGTGGATGTTTGGGCCCAAAAAAATAAACGTACCCGTATGTTTATTTGGCAGATGAGAGTATTGATAAAAGAATGATTGATAGGTTACAGAATGTAAAACATGCACTTGGTAGATTAGAGACTTGTCAATAAAATTTATATTCCCTGGTACACAAAAAGGGTCAGTAATTTTCATTCTGAGATCAACATATTAGTTTTTTATTACTATAACTAGATTGCCTTTAGTAGTGGCATAGCATATATCATTATCAGAACTCTCTTTAAATGATAGTAAATCAAATAGAAAGTATCTGACAATACATGTTATTGTAATACTTCTAACAGGCCAATTTTATTGAAGTACATGCATGGTCATACTACATCATACATCCTAACTAGTGTTGTGTCATGGTTTTATTATGAGCTGAGTCATCAGAAATACCTGCACAGCTTCAATTTTACCAGTGCCCTAACACTAGTAAACAGTAACATGCATATGCAGGTGTCTTCCATGCAGTAACTCATACATATTGAGTAAAGCCAGACCATGCAAAGAGCCAGACCTATCTGGATTTCATATTAGCGGGCTCAAAAGGGGATTATCCTTTTAAAGGATAATCTGAAAGTTTGGTCTTCCTGAGTACCTCCATAAATTCCAGTAATAGCTTATAGAATCCTAGCTTGACCTGGCTTAGCTCAACAATGTAGTAATCTGTGGCAATTTTTACCGTAAGTCCATTTTATTTTGTGGAGACTTAATTTTGTGAGAGAAGGGCAAAGGAGGCTAGGTTTTAACGTTTATAATACTATTATATTACAAAAATACACATTTCTATTTCTTTTATTTTCAAGTTTGCAGCTGTTACAACAATTCTGTAGTATAGTCGACAGTAAGATACAGTGGAAATGCACATTCAGTGTCATGACTTTGCGATGGAAAGGTTGAAAAAAAAAGACATTAAAAAGATTGATAGACAATCAAAACTTGCGACAGAAAATAACGCAGACATACTTAGCGACTTCAAAACTGACAGGTCACCCACCCAAAAACTTTCCTCCCAGTATGCCAAAAATAACTACCACCAGCCCTTTGTAACTAAGCTAGAAAAATGCATTTGTCCTTGGCGTTATATAGATGATTGACTGCCCAAAACCTTAATGGAAAAGGTAAAGGTAGTCCCATAACATAAATGGGAATCTCTAAAACACACCAGAGAGGGGCGGTCACCTCTGACAATTCCTGGGTGACACGAACTGACCCCAAAGTGCTGTAAGGTGATCATCAAGACTTTCCAGCGTTCGTGCGAAATAAAACTTGGGATTTCGCTGATGAAACTGCTGATTTTTTCATCGCTAAGTGCGCGCTGCGGCCGACCTTGTGGCCTGAGTCGAGCGCGGACATACGGATTCAGCCTCCCGTGTCGTTAAAATTGCAAACACCATCCCGAATTCATAAATTATTGCCTTTCAGTGGTTCGCATGGGATAAGGCCCAGGAAAAGAAATGTTGTGTTTCCTGTTTCCCGACCGACCCTAGAAAAAACTGCCAACCGTAGACTTTTTTGGGGAGTGGACCCCTGCAAGGGACATAATTGTTCGAGCTGATCATCCTTTTCTAGCTCCATGATCTGACACCTGAGTGATAAAATGTTGTACAATTGATTTTCTAACATTGACATTGAAAATAAAAGTGTCCTCATGCAAGTTTTACTTCATTAAACTGTATTGTATAATTTGGACCTCTATATTATATATAAATATCACTGAAGTCTAAAAAAAGAAAAAAAGATAATCCCTACCTACAGACCCTAATTTTTTCAGGACTGAAACAGGAAACACAACATTTGTTTTCCTCGGCCTGAATCGCTTAACACTGCAGTCATGACCTTGTGCAATTTAGGGATGCTCCGGACAACATTGCGCCATACGGTCCACTGAGCTCCTGACATATCGACAGAAGATGTTGGACTTGTCCAATCACCATATAGGAGGATTTCTTAACGCTTTGGTGCGATAAAGCTTTATCTTGGTCCTGCAGGGCCCAAAGCTGTTCTTGGCAACGCATGTTATGGCCTAGGTTCACCATGGGGATGAGGCATAACATTATATGTACTATGTACGCGAGACATTATGATGTCTTCAAGTAAAGCTTGGAACAGTCACCTTCAAGCTAAATCATGGCTTTTGCTGTGGCTTTATGATTTTTACTATGTTTCTGATAAACAAACTGTCATGTAGTACAGTCATGCAAAAACATACACATACATGTAGGCCTCATGCACTTAGTACATGTATGGCCAGGTTCAAGCAAGGTTATTATATGATTGGGATTTTCTCTAGCTCCCAACTTTTCAAGTGTCTAAACACAACACAGTTTAAGATGTTGAAAAATCCTCAATCAGAAATTACTATAATCTTAGTTACAACACCCCCCCCTCCCCCATCAAATAATTGTATTCTCCCCCACAACCCAACCACCCCCCACCCCCTTCCCCAAATAAGACCACTGGTAAACAATTTAATTATCTACACAATCTAGATGGATCCAGGAATAAAGTCACTCAAAGAAAAGCAACACGACATTGGAAAATTTGCTCTTTTCTGACGAAAACGTTGAACATAAAAACGTGAATACAGCGATCGTAAATTTGGGCTCCTTTGGCAGAAGCGAAAGCTACCATAGCAAGTCAGCCATTTTGTCTGGAACAGTAGAAGACTCCCCAAGCTTGGTTTAGGCATATTTTGGTCAGAAAGGAACGAATGAAGACATTTTTTGACCCATCGTTGACTTGACGTCCTTCCAGGCTCCTGCCAAACGATAAAAAGGCAAAATTTCTGAGCGGGAAATCAAAACGAGTCGCAAACCTCGACTTGGAAACGCCGCGGCCTCGTCCTGGGCTGATGGCTGCCGGAACATCCGGGACATCCGGCGCGCCCGAACATTGCCGAGCGGTGGTCGGAAACCCGAGCGTGACGTCATCAACCAAGTTCCTATAATGCAATGTATACAACAGAAGTGTTGCGACTACAAATAAATTTTTCAGATAGAAATAAGCAACCGATACACCTAAAACGGCTATTTGTATGAATACGTATAAATGGCCATGTAACGTTCCAAATCGGTGTCTTTTTAATTAATGAAGAAATTCTTATAGGGAAGCGAGTGTGGGAGCCCCGGCATACAAGTAGGATGGTACCCAGGCTAAAGCTAAAATCATTTGACAAATGCTGTATCAAATATGCATATACATGTTCATAAGTACGTTATAGTATAACTTATACATTGTATATTGTAAGACTGTAAAACATGTGACCTGTGCTTTAACTAAAGTAGCTCAGTGGGGCAAAAATGTACAATAAATCCTTCATTAAGCATCATGCTTCACCTATGAGGCCGACCCTAAAGAAAAATATAATTTTTAATGCCCATTGGAAAATGGTATTGACTCTTTTCTGGAAATATACATCAAAGTCACATCAAAAAGCCTTTACTTTCTACTTTCAAAAAAAGGGTACTTCTAAATCAATATTTACCTTACAATAATGCCAAGGTATCATACATAGCTTTGGGAAATAAGGCGGCCTACGTATATTTCCAGCTCCTACATCTTTCATTACTTTATAGATATGAATAGGGTGCTTTGGGGACTATTACTTAGGATTCCCATTGTCTTCATAACATAACGTTATATTCCCCTGGACATTTATGGCCCTTTCCCTAACATAGCAGCATTAACTTCGCGCAATAAAAGATCCATTCCAAAAGTTATCGCGGGGCCCCATTGCGCCAAAGTTCTCAGTGGAGGATGTTGAGATAGATTGATGGCCGTGCTTATCCAGGTATCAGTTCTGCGATATCGCAAAGCTCGCATTTGTTCTTGCACCTTTCCTGGTGCCATAAAGAGAGCCCCAGGCACACTCTGCGATCATCTCTACTTTATGACGCAGATCTTCCGACACCATCGCGTATAAAAGGGCATGAAAGAACTCTCAAGCTGTGATGTATGCAGCTAGATGACAGTAGTACCGTGAGATTTTCTGAGCCGTAAGCTTTTTTCGTGGCGAAATCGCACGCGCGCAGCGTGCTTGTGCCTGCCGGCGCGATCACGATTTGGATGCGGTAGAATTTTCAAACAGCGCTGTGACAGAATCTATAAGACAGCCCTTTTCGTGACGAGACAGTTGATTTTTTTTTTACAAAATAAGCATGCACGATAATCTCACGATTGTCCGCTTCTTGTGATCGCACGACAATCCTACGACGATCCTACGACAGACATGGTGGGCTACATTTCCTTAGCCTGGGTGCCATTTTCTATCATTAGAGAAACAAAACGCCCTCGATATATGAGCCAGAACTCTTGGTGGGCTGAAAAAACGTATGAATTGACCAAATTACTCTGAATATTTTATCAAGGGGCTTGGCCGATCATTGTACAGTTCCGCTGGTTACATATAGTAACTCTATAGCCGGCTAACTCCCCTAACTTTAATATTTTTTCCGGCAGCCGACAGAGTCTGGGAGACTATCTCTTGTCGACATGTCTTATCCGTTCGGCTATTAAGAGTCTATGTTCACAGACGCAACATCCGACCGTGCTCAATACATTAATATCAGTCACGCGAAAAGGCGTCGAAGAGAACTCCCACGGTCACAAAAAGCTATAATATCATAAAGCTAACACCAGGAACGCGGGGCCTTTTCTATCCATCAGCACAGCAGCTCTCAGACTAACGTCAAATCATAATTTTCCGCGCGAATTGCCGTCTCTCTACCCAGCTGATACCATAGCAAGACTGTTCATCTATTGTTGGTACTCTGGAGGGACGTAACACCCCCGTTCACCCCAAAATTGATCTGGCTACAGTCTACACCAAACTGAGGGCAAGGCCGTCCAGGATGTGGTTTAAAGCGCACTTAAGGCTACGAATGACTTTTTATAAAGCAATCCTCTGGTCTCGGTTTAGCCTTCATCAACCTTGACCCTCGCAGATCATTGATCGTTATTAGAGCTCGAAGACATATGTTAATGCTGACTGAGCTACACTGGATAGTGGGTGGACAAACCTATATCCCCTGGTACGTCGGTGAAGGTTAGACACCCAGGTAATAACATACGCCAAAAAAGTTACTCAAGTAACTGGATATGATTTTGCAAACGCTCAGACGTTTCATCCTTGTCTTATAGCTTATTGTCAGTAGCTCCATTTTGCTACTCTGTGTTCGCGTCCAAGTATTTGATCATGACTTTTCCGATTTTGAATTTTCAAAATTCCAAATAGACTGACAACTAGTACTATTGTGCAACTTCACCGACACAGTTTTTTAATATTCAGTACATCAATATTTAACCATGACACATATTACCAGTTATTTTCCTTTGCTTAATAAGTGCATAAGCACATTTGGGCTAAAATTAGCTGATGAGTTAATTGGTTCAATCTTTGTTTATTCATGAGACTTTAAATCGTCATGCAGGCCGTTTCTAAATGAAGATCATGAGGGTTAAAATATATAACAAAGATACACTTAACATCATTTAAATCCTAGATAATCTCCTAGCAGATCTTTCCGTGACTTAATCGTAATTGCGGCCAAAGTTGGCGCGTAGGGGCACTCCCAATAGACGTACTATAGATGGTCGGGAATTACGATTTTGTCACGAAAAGATCTGCTTGGAGATTAGCGTACAGATAGAGTACTAGGGTGACCTTTAAATACCACAGGAAACATTTTAAAAAGGTTAACGCTAAGACATTTAAATGAGCTATAAATATATTAGACAGAATATATTCTGTTGAGTAATTGGTAGGCCTAGATAAAGATTTAAAGCTTGAAACCTTCAAGTTGATTGTACCTTTTGGCAATTACCGATAACAAAGTACCTCATTTGAATTTTTCATCGATTATATGGAACATGAGTTACTGGTAACGGCCCCGAATTTGCTTTTGGGGGTAAATCAAGTATCTGAATATTTGGTGAGCGAGTGCTATTCTTAGATTTTAAAACACATGCAATAATAGACATTGATGCCACGCTGACGCCTTTTGGGACATGTCCCAGAAGCATATTCAAGGCCGTTAGTCAAAAATATAGTCTCAATATGCAACCATTCAATAATTTGATGTTCGTACTGTGCCTGAATTGTAACATTGTTCACTATGTAAGATATGTCGCTGGTTTCACATTGTCCTTTTTGTGGAAGGACAACCATATACATGTATATGAGAAAGTAGTCATAGGTTTGGTTACTGTTAGAAGACATTGGTATTCAAGCCGTATATATAGTATATATCGTAGGTGTTAAGTATGTATTATTGTAATTGATTGTATCTTATTTATGATGTAAAGAAGTCCAGCAAGACCTAGTGGACACATGTTGTTTTACTAAAATGCAGATTCCTAATAAACATAAACGTACCCATAAAAAAAATAGTAAAACCCACGTAGCTTGACCCAACGATACATATTGAAGCCACTCTACTTTGCTCTGATGTCTGATGGACGCCCTATCAGCGTACCATCTCAGCCAGGTACGTCTTCGCTTCCTCTTTGTCCCGAAAGTATTGATAAGACGCTAGTTACGTATGCAGGCAGTGTTGTAGAGACAGTTGAAATACGACATGTCTGCAGAAACCCGCAGGACAAACGTCTCAAAATTTTACCTGCTGATAAACCTGGAATTTACTTCCCTGTGATTTACACTCAGAAGACGTCTCCTTGACCCTGAGGCAATTTTTCGTTTTCCTTTATCTGGGTCTGAGATCGGTTTACTACCTCGTTTCTTTGCATTTATTTACAACCTAGAAGATAACTACCAGGAGCTTTTCAATATGCACATAAATCCTACACAGTCAAGCGACGTCAAACAGACGCTAGTAACAAACTTTGTGGGCCCTGAGTTACCAGTTTTCATCAGTGGCATTGTCACAGGCAATGGAAAAGATGCATTAAGTTTTCCATGGTTCTTCGTTTTTATTTTCCCCTTGTGCTTCTACTTTCACATTTAAAGTTTTGTAATATAACTCATGTTGGGTAACCTATACAACTGACTGGTTCAGCATTCAAGCCGATTGCAACAAACTTTGTACACTTAACAAAAGTCGTTTTGGGGTGTTTAGTGCATAGAAGTTTGACGTCAGAGACTTTCGCCAGAAACTCCCACCAGCTTTATGCCCCCATCCGAAAGAACGAATGTAGGCCTCACACAGTGCCCGAACGGGGCTCGAACCTCTTTTGGATCCACGTAATTTGATCCATACGTCGAAGCGGCTGGGTCAAGGCAGCTTCTGGTCATTAAAAAAACGTTAACAATTTGAAATGGGTCTTTCACCTTACCCTTGATACCAACGTGAACGTTTTCTAATGCCTTCAGAACGACTAGGCATTAAAAAACTGGAAGCAATCAGCAGAGCTTGATCCTTGCTGAGGAAGACGGCAATGGCCGTACACGGGCTGGAAACGTTACCGAAGTTAACCCGCGCAATTGTGAGGAATTAACAACATCGATTTTGTCATAAAGGGGAGAATCTACCCTTCTGGAGAGATGGAGGTCAACAGCCTGCGTATGACCGTGGGTTTATATCAGGTTATGCGAGCTCAAATGACAAAATCAAGACCCAAGGCATGGAGCTATGATACTGATTACATATGTGTAGTATAGCCCCATATGCCCAAAGCAAGCATTTCTCCGACCCTCTCCTTACAATTATTCTAGTTAATGTCAAACGCTTCACTTTTTTTAAATCAAAGAAACTGCCTACCATACATGGCTTTGTTGTCTCAACAATATCTCAATTAAAAGTTCTTAACTTAGTTAGTTCTGAGAACCGTCCGTTTTATCTAAGTAAATTGGTTAGTATTTTGTTATGGATTGAATTGGCCAGACGGCTTTTGACTCTACTTGCTTGAAAGAAAG